CAATGTGTTTCTCAATTTGTCCAGGGCTTGGACAAACGGGGAGAACCTCTTGAAGTCATGTGGATGTGTGTAAGTGTGATCTTGTTTATCCTTGGTGGCCCGGGTTGCAGCCTGGAGGCGGGGTAGCGTGCGAGATCCATCCAACGCCTTAGGGAGACGTGCGCACGTTGGTCCAACGCCCCGTCTCATGGTGGACGGTGAGCATTCATTTTGTTTTATGCGTCCAATTCCTTCGCCTGTTTCGCGGACTGACTGGGGATTTGAACGGCAAGCCGCAGTCAGCATCAAGACTTTAGGGTTGCCATTTGTTCTGCATTGTGGGTTGGAGTTTGTGGAAAGCGTCTAAGAGGGGAAGTACGTGAACAGCGCTGAAGGTCTGATTCATTGCTTTGTGATTGCAGTGTTCCTTTGGGTGCGTCCCAAACTTCCCTTTTGACCGCCTGGTGGTGTTTCAAACCCACACACCAGGACTTGCGATTTTGCGGGCAGCTGAAAGGGACTCTCAGCATTTCTATGTTTGGCGCCGGAACCTAGAAACCCAGATGTCCAACATGGGAGAGGGCCATAATTGTTGGACACAGTCCGCTGACCTTTACCTAAAAAAAATTGCCTTGCGCACACGTCCATCACTTCCCCCTAGATGTTTGGCCAAGCGCCGTGTCCCTCGTAGCCCTTCGAATCCGAAGCGTTGAGGCTATGATCGAACAAGCCATGATGGCCGACGGCACATCTCACGAGGACGCGTGGGAAGGGGGTAGTCATTGTTATAGCCACCTCCTGGTTCGCCTTGGAAAGCCAAATGACAGGGGTTGGCCAGGTGGCATGAAGGAAAATGAACGGAAACGAAAGGAGGGGTATGAACGGGGAGCGCAGGGAAATGAAGGAAGCAAATGGAGCATGAAGAAGGATGAGCGACATGAAAGGAGAAATGAAAGGGAGACAAAGGGGAATTAAGGGAAACGAGGGAAATACAGCAAATGAACAACAGGAAGGACAATGAAACGGACATGCCTGGACGTGAAGCTGGAAATCCAATGCAAAATGAAGGACAAAGGTGACCTGAAGGGGCTGAAGGGAAGTAAAAGAACATGATGGATTCCAAGTGCGGGAAATTGACGTGAAATGAGTCGCATGCCGTTTTGGAAGCTCCGCCCATGTGCTCGGAATAAATAGTGGATATGTATTTGGGTCTGTTTTTTGTTTGATCTTGACCCCACAAAATGGTGGTGTTCCTCTTGGTCTCTCTAAAACCACCAAGAAAAGGGGTACCCTCCAAAAACGACATACCCATTTATACTTATTGCATGCTACAATATAAGGGTTTCTTGTGGCGTCCTGTCGTTTTTCTTGGATATTTGTCCCCTTCATTCCCAGGTTTTCCATATCAATCCAGAAACGCGGGTGGCAACTTTTGCTTGTTCTACCCCACGAACCATTGCCTACATTCGGACACATGTTTGCTTAGAAACTAGACGGAAAGAACGCACGACTTGGCCTCAGGTTCCAACATCACTTAGAGAGTTGGGTGAAAGAAAGCTTCTTCCTTTGGTCAAAGATTGCTGGATTCACCAGGTGTGGGTCCTAGAGTCTTACCCATTGCATCAAATCTTCTGCTTTGTTTCCACAACTGGCGGTTGCCCACCCACACTTGGCGACTCAGTGTTTGCATGCCCCCGTGATGTTCAAGGCACCCACAAGGGGAATACACCCAACCAACATCCGTGAGAAAAAAACTACACCACGGTTGGCCCGAAAGCACCACAGCCCCGTGACCATTCTGCGCAAGCGGCTTTGGGCAAGGTGCTTTGCGCGAACTGGTCTGTGCAAGTTGCTCTGCGCAAGTTTGCTCTGCGCAAGTTGCTCTGTGCAAGTTGCTCCGTGCAAGTTGCTCCGTGCAAGTTGCTCCGTGCAAGTTGCTCCCTGCAAGTTGCTCTGTGCACGCTGCTCTGTGCAAGTTGCTCTTTGCAAGTTGCTCTGCGCAAGTCGCTTTGCGCAAGTTGCTTTGTGCAAGCTGCTCTGTGCAAGAAGCTCTGTGCAACTGACTCTGTGCAAATGTCTCGGTACAAGTTGCTCTGTGCAAGTTGCTCTGTGCAAGTTGCTCTGCGCAAGTTGCTCTGCGCAAGTTGCTCTGCGCAAGTTGCTCTGTCAAAACTGCTCTGCGCAAATTGCTCTGTGCAAGCTGCTCTGTGCAAGTTGCTCTGTGCAAGTTGCTCTGCGCAAGTTGCTTTGTGCAAGTTGCTCTGTGCAAGAAGCTCTTTGCAACTGACTCTGTGCAAATGTCTCTGTACAAGTTGCTCCGTGCAAATTGCTCCGTGCAAGTTTCTCCCTGCAAGTTGCTCTGTGCAAGCTGCTCTGTGCAAGTTGCTCTGTGCAAGTTGCTCTGCGTAAGTTGCTCTGCGCAAGTTGCTCTAGGCAAGGCGCTCTGCGCAAACTGGTCTGTGCAAGTTGCTCTGTGCAAGTTGCTCTGCGCAAACTGGTCTGTGCAAGTTGCTCTGCGCAAGTTGCTCTGCGCAAGTTGCTTTATGCAAGTTGCTCCGTGCAGCTTGCGAAGCCCGCCCGCGGACCAGGGGAGAATCGATCCCGCGACCCGCCGGTCCCGGGAGCAGGCGCACAAACCACGAGACAACTCCCGAGGACCAGCACGAACAACAAAAGTCGCAAAAAAACCTCGAGTTTTTGCACCTCGACCACGCCAATCCCCGCAAAGAATTGCGCGGGGCAAAACAAACTCGCAAAAAACCTCGAGTTTTTGGATTTTCGTAGAGTGTCGTCGGCACTACCCCGCCGCCCTAAGAAGAGATTTTAACTCCTCGCAAGTCAATTGCTCTTGACTCCTTGCGCTTGCAACTTGCACTTGCAACTTGCACTTGCAACTTGCACTTGACTCCTTGCACTTGCAACTTGCACTTGACTCCTTGCACTTGCAACTTGCACTTGACTCCATGCACTTGCAAGTTGCACTTGACTCCATGCACCTGCAACTTGCACTTGACCCCTTGCACTTGCAACTTGTACTTAACTCCGTGCACTTGCAACTTGCACTTGACTCCATGCACTTGGCTCCTTGCAACTTGCAATGACTCTCATGACTCCTTGCAATGACTCCTTGCAATGACTCATTGCAATGACTCCTTGCAATGACTCCTTGCAATGACTCCTTGCAATGGCTCCTTGCAATGACTCCTTGCAATGACTCCTTGCAATGACTCCTTGCAATGACTTTCATGATGATGATTCCTTGCAATGACTCCTTGCAATGACTCTCATGAGAACAACTCAAGTGAACCCAGCGAAAGAACCCTTCGCCATGCTTTCGGGGAAAAACCCAAAAAACAAGAAAATAACACAAGCGTCGCGCTTTTCGCGGCGCAAAAATGTCGCGCGCCGCGAATCCGCCGCGGCTTGAGGATTTGGACCGGGTGTTGCGGGCGCTGGCGCAGGCGGGCGACAGTGCCTTTCGTCACCGTCGGTGCCTCGAGATCTTCGCCTGCGCGCCTCGGTGAAGGGGGGAGGAGCAGCTGACTTCAGTTTTGGTCCAAGTGGTCGACTTGGGGTTTTGGGGTTCAACTCACGGTGCGGCTCAATCTGAAGGGCAGAAGCTTGCAGATGGAGTTTTGGAAAGACCGATGGTGGAAAGGGGGAGGGCTGATACAAAAACGTCCCGCCGGGTTGGAAACCGAACGTGTTTTTGGAAGCACTCCAAGAAAGAAGAGAAGTAGGATCCATAACAAACCCATTGGTTTTGACGTGTTTTTGTGTCATCTACTGCATTGCACGGCTGTCTTCCAATGGTTTTCCAACAATTGCTGTTCCTGCCGCGTCCATTTTGCTTACAGCACACCCTCAGAATCCGTAACGGAATTCTGTGGCCATCATCATTTCGCTAGGGCGCCGTGCTTTTCTATGCGTGTGTTATCTTTCAGATGTTAAAGCCAGAGCAAACCGCAACTGGAAAAACTCCAAGCATAGAACCCGCCCCCGTACGCCACAGCTACTGCTCTGTTTTGGCCGCGCGTGCAGTCTTTCAAGTCCTTCAACAAGTCGGTTGAGTAAATTTTGCTCAGCCTCAACTGGAAGCATTGGGTATACTCTTGGATTTGAGCAGATGCCGCTGGCAAGTTGCCAGGGGTGTGCCCGGCTTGCATTGCTTCCAGCAAGAATTCGATTGCGCCTGTATGCACCTGGACCTATCTGCTGGATACTTTGTTTGTGTGGCAAACTTCTTCTTTGGAGTGCGAGACAAAGCGGCGCAAAAGCTTGGCTTCGGATGCCAGGCGAGGGACGCGCATTGCAGTGAAAGTTGCTTCGTGATCTGCTCTGCTGTTGATTGACCACCAGGGGTCCGCAAATTGAATGACTTCATACCATCATCCCCCCCCCCAAAACCCCGGCATGTCGCTGATCTCCTGAAATGGTCACGACTCCACGTGCGGTTTTCGCTCCGTAGGCAAAAACGTGAGGGCTTGGTTAAGTGATGAGTCCACCCCGTGAACGTTTCAAGGAGGCACTAAATGAGGTTCGATTGGCAATGCATTCCCTGGCATATGGCTCTCAGTTGGCCAATCGTTTTCCTTGTAATCCAAAGCCCCCTGAAGTTGGGGACTTGCAAGCTGATCATGAAGTGTGGAGGGACTCCGGCATTGTGACTGATCGTTGCCGTTCTTGAGACTCACATCCCACAAATGAAGCCCGCAGGCGTGCCCCCCGGAAGGGTGAAGTTGATCTGCATCACTTGCCCAAAGACGACGTTTTGACCTTTCGTTGTCCAGTTTTATCGGTTCTGGTCTCAACTAACAGGTTGACCATTTACTTAGATCTTTTGGGCAAGTTAGATGAAGGATGCCCACATTTCACTACGCAGTGCTCAGGTCCTGCTGATTGCAACTTGGATCAGAAGCAAAGGTGCCGGAACAGGGTTCTGGGAAGGGTTTGCCACTGTACCAAACCTCCCAAGTGAAAAAACGAGTTGATGGGAAGGCCTTCTGTGGTATCACAGAAGCGAGCATTTCCAAGCGGAGGCTTGCAGTGCCCGGTCCAGGAAACGATACGACTCGCAGATAACAAAACATGCGATCATTTGTCTGCCTCAACTATTTACTTTCAGCTAGTATCATCACTGACCAGTTCAAGTGAGTCTAGTGAAATTTGTCGACCTTCAAAGGAAAGCCCAACCGATGGCTGTGCCATTAATGGAGTCCTGCACTAGCATCTCACAAACGCGCGGCTCTGTGCAGGCATTATCCCAAAAAAACAACAATGGTTTCGTTGTTGACCCCTGACCTTTGCACAGCTCACATTTCCTTTGGCACAACAGAGCTGCTGTCTACACACACACACACACACACCGCTGCATTTTAGTCTCAGTGCCATTTGGGCAAGCCATCTTTGTACCACGCAACAGACGAAACCAATCGGAGGAACTGGGGAAGCTGTTTCCGTGCATGTGGCCCAGTTGTTCAGTGAAAGTTACTCTTCTTCTGATGTTTGTCCAATTCCTCCAGGGGGGGGTTAAGTTTTCTGTTGGTTTTCCTTCAACATCATCCAACACAGGGCGGAATCAAATAAGCCCAGGTCGTATCCAACAGCCCGCCTCCACCCCCAGAGCCTATGTGGGCAGAGACTCCATAGCTTTCAGCTGTTGGGGGAAGAAACAACCTCAACATGCTTTCTTATAGCGGGCTTGGTTTCTCTGTTTCCTTCTGGTTCCCTTCAAGCAATCCCAACAGGAGGTTCCGAGGTGACAAGAGGGCGACTGTTTTTTTGGGGGGGCTTGCCTTTTTGGGAGTTTCAAGTTCATGAAGGGAAGGCCGGCAGGGGACAAAAAGGCGACCTTTTTTCAAAATGCGTCGAATTGCCAAGGAGTTAAACGTGATCTCCTGCACCATGTACGTCATGGACTTGTGCAGCGACCTGGAGGCCTGCTTTGAGGCCGGTGGCGAATTGGACCGAGCCCCCCGTCGTTTCGTTAAGGTTCCTAGTCCTTGGTTTTTAAACTCGGGCATGAAACGTGATAGATTATGACGTTCAAGAAAACCATCTCGTAGCTCTGCCCAAATGTGTCCAGCATGTCACATTCTTGCCACGGGTGACTGTCCACCGAGTTCTGGGGACTTGAATCGAGGGTTGCCTTTTGAAGGGCCATTTGTTTCGCTCGGTCTGCAAGACTTGGATCCTTTCTGTTTGCCCTCACCTCGACGCCTCATGGCAAGCTCTGTGAGAGTAATTCCTTGGACAGCGTTGCCGCGAGAGGTGCCGGCTTTTGCCAGGGGATGGGCATCTGCTCGTCGCTTTGCAGCGCTCTGAGTTCTTTGGATTTTGGGAGCCGACGAAAACCTCTGCCATCTGCATCCACCGCATGGTTAGCTCCTTTCCCAGAACCTTGCCTTGCCATTGCCCCCGAGTTTGGTTGCCACGGCCCTGCGAAAGAAACTTCCCCAAGACGAGACGCTTCAGCCTTCCTGCATTTTTGGGCGACGCTTCAGTCAAGGGTCCCCCAGGCTCTTGAAAGGCAAAGCTCCTTCCCAAAAGCTCATCAAAAGGATTTGGCGCCCTTGGTGGGCATTTCTCCACATGGGGATTGCGCAGTTGGTGACTCAGCTTATGGGGTTTCATTCATCCCCGGTTCGTCTCCGGCTTGGCCAAATTGATGGATTCACTCACCGCATAGGGTGTCATTCAGCCCCGGTGAATCTCCGCCAGGAGGAGACGATCGAGAACGGCGTCATCAAGGGCAAGGCGCTGGTCGGGGATCGCCGGGAAGGAAGAACCCGAAGCCAAACCTTCGGGTTCCCGTTGGTCAAGCAACTTCCAACTGGTACCCCCTTTGGGGTGGTTCAAAGGGGGAATAAAAGGAGGTGGCCCTTGATGTCCTTTTTTCTTTGGATTGTTGTTTTTTTTTTTGTTGGGGGGGTTGCCCTGTTCCAAGCGAGTGCCAGTTTTGAGTGGACTTTAATTCGCGAGTGCGGGCGTGGCTAAGTTCCAAATGGCGACCGCTTTGACATTTGGTGTATTGGTTCGCGACCTCGATGAGGATTGCTTTTTTCGGGGGCCCCGGGGGATGAACATCCATCCAGATTTGGACATTTGAAGTGGTTTCCCACCAGGGATGATGGAGGATTGGGGCATAGCTGAACAGCTCAGATGGTTTCCAGCAATTTGCAGAAACCACCAGAAAAGAGAAGAGGAGAACCTGAATGATCTTGGCTGCTCTGTGGTTGGACCAACGCCCAGGGCCAGATTCGCGGTTTCATGGATACGTTTTTAGTTGATTCCCTAGTTGGTTCTCTCTTAAAGCTAAGAGACATTCCTCGGTTCTACGCACCTTCCCTGAAAAATCAGGCGATCTTTGGTTTCCTCCCAAAAAATAGGTAGCAACTGGTCAAATGGAGCCCAACTCGACACCATTTGGATCCACTTCCGGGACACAACTCGTCGTAACCAGTGCCAACGGCAAGCCCCGGAGCACGTCTTAGCGACCTGCCCCAGATCAACAAAACCCGAACAACCATACTGTTTCATTTTTAGAGGAATCTTCTTTTGGGACCATATTTTTGGTCCTTCGGACTTTTGCCAGATTGCACTGCCAAGTGCGCCCCCAAAGTGGGCGTTTTGGAGCCTAGTTGCACAATAAAAAGATAGATAAATCAATAAATACATGGATAGGTAGATAGATAAACAAATTCATATCCAAGTGTAAGCACACACACACACACATGTTTGTTGAATATTTACATGGGACCCAGGAGAAGAAGTAAACTCTATCGCGAGCCTGCATCACGAGTATTGCCCGTCTCAGAACTATAATCGAGGATCCATTTTGTGCCGCCTTGATAGGGATGCGCCAAAGGTCCAGTTGTTTTGCAGTTCATATAAGATTCCAAGATTCCTGTCTCACGCAGTTCCCCTTTACAGGGGTAGGGCCCTTCAAAGCGGCCCCAAGGGTATCCTTCACAAAGAGAGACAAATCCGTTGGAGCAAGCCCTGGAAAGGTCATGGGTGGCTTGAACAACATTCACGCCGGGAGCTTACAGCTGGATCTGACCCATCCATGAGATTCCTTTTGAATCCCAGCCATGAGGAATCTCGTTTTGGCGGATCCGTTCTGGGTTTTATCTGAATTCACAGGGAGTAGTGCTTCCGACAGCGGTTGTTCTGTTTCCTTCTTGGAAGGATCAACCATCGCAGTTTCATAGCCACCCTTTTGAGCGGTGCAATGTTTGGGTAGGCAATCAACTAGCTGTCCGAAGTGCAGCTTGGCTTTAGCCTCGCAAAGCCGCTTGCTTGAAACACATGCATGCCAGCGTGGGCTTGTGTTTGAATGCCACCTGTGAAAGCAACAAAATCCGCTTCAAAGTGAGAAAGTCGTGGCGGCAGGCGGCAGATACCTGAACTCCCTGCGGCTTCCGACATAAAGAAGCGAGCCATGGTTCCCCCAGTTGCTGCCAGGCTTTTTCCTAGGTCCCGCCCCTAGGTCCAAGGAAAGCCTAACAAAAACAGAGAGAGAGACGCGCCTCAGTCGCCACTGACATCATTCGCAGTCGCCCCGCCGAAGCGCACCTCAAAAAGCCGAACCGCGGTGTCGCACCCGAGCCGATGGAAGGTGTCTAAATGAGGACTCGATCCCCATTTTGGGGTGACTCAGAGGGATCCAAAAAACAAAACCGAATCGCATGTGCGATGGGTTTCCCCATGAAGCCACATTGGCGTGCTGCAGTAAACAAAAATAGGGGCCCGAATCGGAACCCTGGAAGATGGGCAAGAAGACTCACCCCGGTCCACTGGCTCTCTCTTAATTCTTTTGGCCACACCCACATGTCCGTTTTAGTTTTATGCTTCTTCTTTCTTTTGCGGGGGGGGAGCGGGAGAGCGGAGGCAGTGATTTCGAGGCTGGAACTCAAGCAGCCCAGAGGAATTCGTTTTCGAACAGCATGTGGCGCGGATTGATGCCCTCAGCCGTGTGGAAGAAGAAGAAGAAGGGGGGGAGGGGGGAGGGAAGGGAAGATCACTGGGAGGCCTCCGCATTCCGTTTCCGAGGCCTGGGGCATTGTGATCATGGACGGCTGCATCCTGGTCTCCTTGCTGTACTTCCTGCTGCCTGGAATCCGCAATCCGCAAGCCGCAAACTCGATTCGGTGTCCTTTGGAAAGAGGTCCCGATCTTTTTTGGGATGGTCTTGAAGGGAAACCAAAAGGAACCTAGAGCCTCCAGGAGCCGGTGGCATTGCTTTCTGGGCGAGGGGGTGAAAATTACATCGGATGAACGTTGCATGCCTGTAGATCCTGTAGTTTTAGCAAGCTCATGGATCACGATAGTTACCCTTTCAACAGGATCTGCTTGGCCACTGAGAGTCGGACCCATCTGATATGACCCGAAGTTTGGCTCAATATAAAGGGAGGCTTCGACCCCATTGGGGTATTGGGGTGATAGGGTCATATCAGGGCCTGACTTTCTGAGTCCAAGTCTGGGCCTTTTGACCCATCAGATCGAATATTTGAGCTGCCAGCAGTTTTGCTCTATCCACCAATTCTCTCAGGTTTTGCAAAATACTGCGTTCGAACGATGTCCAAAACGATACCCAACGATGCCCCGAAACCCGGAACGATGCAATGGCAGCCACTTTTCCACTTGTCCAGCCGGAGCTGCCAAAGTGTACTTGTGTTGCCGTTGCACTGGGCAGTTGCAACGTTCGAGCTGGAGCTACCAAAGCGTACTTCGCATTCTACACTTGCCCTGAAAAAGCACGATTTTCGAGCTGGAGCTGTGCCATTTCGCAGCAGCATGTCAGGAGCGGAGCAGCAGGCAGTAGCAGATTCCACTTGGCTTCCTTGCCCCCTGAAGGAAAACAATTTGGTTGGGTCGTTGGAAAACTCGGACATATGACATATGTGTTGTTTGTGACTGTTCCGCTACATCTTCAGCGCCTCCGTTTTTTCGCGTGTCGTCCGAGGCTCCGGGCACTTCGATGGTGGGCCTCGGACTGGTTCGGCCGTTCTCGGCACATCCGGGCACGCGGCCCAGGTGTGCGTCAAACTTCGGGCGCTCGGGTTCAGTGAAATTCTCGGTCTAAAGTGGAGAGTTAAAATCGAGTGGACAGATTCAAGAGATAGCCGAGCTTTGGCGGTTACTCAGTCTATGGTCCATTCGGGAAGGACATGGGGGACTGTCCAATTTTCCCCTCAAAGTTGGAACCAACACCCCCTGCTTTTTCTCATGTTCAAAATCCTAAGTACTGTCCAAAAGGCAGTGGCTGTGGGGGTGTTGGAAAATGACTTTCTAGTTTTGCCATGTCCAGTTTGGGAACAGCATAATTTGACTGCGGGTGAGGGCAGTGCCAGGCAATGTTTGCGTGGTTTGTCACTTGGGGGAGTCTCAGGAGTTGTTCTGGGCTCAAAGGGAAGTGCAGTAGCCACCGGCAAATTGATTGACGAGTGTTTCGAGGTGAGCAAATTCCCACCAGAAGAGACATGGGGGTGCCTGTTTGGACTCTTTTGCTGCGGGTCACCGTAGGGATGGCCACGTTTCGGAAAACCACCAGCTGTGAGAGGGATCGGGAAGATTTTGCCGTGGTGGATGGCATGAGTGACCACTCTAGATGTCCAAACAGGTTCTTGGCAGTGTTTTGATACGCCCCGTGGTCCTAAATCGTTTTTGGCCATATCACGCATTGGTTGTTGATTCTGAGTGAGCTTTTGTTTGGGGTGCTGATTGAAGTGAAGCCGGGGTTGCTCCAAGGGACACCAAGAAAGGAAGGCACCCGAAAAAAACACCTTATGCTTTCCATGTGGGCCACAGTCACCACCTGAGCTGGGTATTTGAAGCTTGTGGAACAGTCCCAACCCCAAATAGGCGTGGCTGCTACTTGACATGGTTCTGGGCAAACTCCTTTGATACCAGGCTCTGGTAATCTCATGCGATTTGTCAGAGGAGTATGGGATCTCACTGAAGGCTTTGCTCCGCAGCCGCACCCACCGGACCTCGCTCCACCCCCCCTGCCGCCCCTCCCCTGTGCTTTCCCCCCCCCCCCCCCCGCCTGGATGGCCCCCCCCTTAGGTGCTCCCCCCCCCCCCTCTCCCCTTCTTTGTACTTCCCCCCCCAACTACTCAACTCTCCGCCCCCCCCCCAAAAAACCCAACCGCAACCCCGAGACTTTCTTCAAGCACCTGCTTGCCCAAGGTGAACCTCCGAGTGGCCGTTATGGTCTTCGGCCTAGGCGCGGATCGGATCGCCATCACCTGCTAAGGAGCTATAGGCTATATGTACTTGAGACATTTGGTTACTTTTTTGTGAGCCCTAGTTGTGAGAAAAGGTGTTGGTCTTAGGCTGTTACTTATCACATTTCTATATTTCTTGCTTTTTTTGTGGGCCCTGGTGAGAAAAGCTGTTGGTTTTAGGTTGCCACTTCCTGTGATAACGGAATCTGGTAAAATAGTCAGAGGGATGGGATTTCACTTTGGCGGTGCAAGGGTGCAAATCCGCGAGGCCCTTTTTTTGGTGCGTGGGTCTCCCTAGGTCAGAAAGAGGGGCACCATCCATCGGCTGGTCAGATGTGAGGAACGAGGTCGCCAGGTTTCCAGAAGTCGCCCTCCCAACTGACATCGAACCCGCTCCGTTTGGAGGAATTTTGGTCTTCCATTGAATATTCACCAGGCAAGTACCCCTGATGTGGCTGAGGCCAGAAATCCTTTGGAAGAGGCAGAGCTGTTGGGTATCTGAAAGCCTCGCAAAGGAGCAGCCTGCTGCTTGCCCCCGGAAAAAGCCTTCGGGCCTCCTAGGCCGGTTCGTTGGCACGCCTCCAAGGATGCCCGGACGGAATTGTCTGAGGACACCCCTGCGATTGAGAGAGATCAGAAGGCCTTGTCACCCCCCAAAAATCCCGATGTCTTACAAAACAAACGTAGAACCGTTGGGGTGTGTCACATCTGTTGGGGGACCCCCAAAATGACCATGGATGGTTTCCTTTTGGTTTCCTCTATCACCATCCAAGGAGAGAGCCCCCAAAAACTACACACCCATTTCGATCCCCTTTTGGCTTGAAAGCAAACAGCCCGCTTGCAGACGTTTCTAGAGTCACATGATGTATACATATGTATAGGATCATGTACTCAAGGAACATTCACTACAACCGGGAGGGTTGACCATGAGAAACATGCGCGCTTTTTTTGCCCAGCATGTTTCTGCTGGAGAACAACATCATGTGAAGAGAATAACTAAACTAAAATGGGGAATTGTGCCACCTATGTTACACGGCGGCTCAAGTCATGTTCTCGAAATTCGTTTGTTCCCATCTTTGAATTCAGCCTCCTTATGGATGAATTGCAAAGGCCGAAGGATCACAGAGAACCATGAACTGTGCTCTATTATGGCGCAATGCCCTCAGTGGCCGTGTGTCTTCTAACACGTCACATCCTGTACTGGTTTTGCGAAGTACTTGTTGAATAACACCAATGGTCCATGAAAGGAACGCCTAGATGTGGCTCTTTCTCAAAATGAGGTTGTGCAGTTACCTTTTGACAAAGGAGTTTATAGTTTGAGAGAACGCTGTAGTTAAGCCGTGGCCGTGTACCCCCCTCCTATTTTGGGTGGTGCTAGATGTTATTTCATTTCAGAAACGCATGGAATCAATATAGGTTCCCGATTTGTCCCATGTGGTTTCCATCCATTTTTCCATCGGACCCCTAGCTCAGGCACTCACTTCCATGGCCGCTTGTTTTTCATGGCCCCCAGCCCATTCAGCGCGAATCGAATTCCATGCCTGCAGGTGTAAAGTTCACCATCTGGCTGATCCTTACCTGGTTCCTCTCAGAAGCTGTGCGGAAATTGGTCAATGGGCCTGGATGGGGCGGTTGGAAGATCCTTCCCGGGATGCGGAATCCGGTCCGCTTTGAGTTCACGTGGTATTGACCAAGGTGACAGAACAAAACCTACATGTTGGGTAGACGGGGGGGGTTGGCCCGGACCGACCCGAGACACAAGTCCATGCGTGATTGGCAAAGTGCGTTTTTGCATGGTAAAAAAACAAAAAAAAAAAACAAAAAAACAACAAAAAAAAACAACAAAAAACAAACAAACACACAGTCTTGGGCTGCTCACTTCGTGGGAAGTCAAGAAAAACATGCTCAAGTTCGCGTACTCCGGGTCAGGACCCGGAGTACTCCACACCAAGTTGCCTATGCACATACATAGCTGACAGCCCTCTAATGTGGGCCTTTTCAGCGCGTCCGCCACAAAGCAAATTCCCGCGGCGAAGCCGCTTCTTCAAGTTCGCCAAGGACTCCGCCTTCTGGTCTCCCCCCACCATGGTTGTGGTACGAGCGTTGGAATGGTGACTGACACGCTGCCCCGAGCGAGTGCCCGCTTGGAAGAATGGATAGTACCGGGCATCCAATACCGCCATGCCCCGTCTGGCAGGCAAATCCTTACTGAGCCAGTGATTTATGAAATAAAAAGTGTCGGTTTCGGCCCAGCATAAAGAACCAAAGACACATGAAACCCTTCAGTAGATGTGGTAACCTGCGACAAGAATCAGCCACTCCCGTGCCTATGCTAGCAGCCACGCTTGGAGCAGTCAAAGCAGCTTCAGCATGAGCCGAACTTCTTGTCGCAGCTGGAAGCACTGCGGCGGGCCGTCTGGGCGGATCTGGCCTCGATTGGGCTATGCAGCTGCAGCTCTAGACCGCTGGATCGAACTGAGACAGGGGACACACTGCGCGCCCTATCTCCTCATGGATGGAAGCAGCTGCGGTACGCGTCTGGACGTGTCTAAATACATTTCCCCCCTCCACCCCGCCTCCCTCCCTTCCCCCCCCGCCACGTTGTGGACGCAGAGCGTATGTGAGGGCGGGGCAGTGTGTGCTGACCTTTCAGTTCATGCAGGGGGACCATCCATTTGCTGTGTGCGATGGTCCACAGCAAATGCGGATATCGAGGCTGATCACCTCGACGTACCTGCGCAACATCGTTCTATCAACAGTGCCGTTTTGTGTTGTGTGTTGCGCCGTTGCTTTACAAGGACCAATGGCTCGATTGGTGACTGAAGCCAACTCGAAATGAAGCAGTCGAACCTGTCTCTCCTCTCCTCTCTTGCGTGACGTACACGAATGTACCAAACCACACCTTGGGGTATTGAAGTGTGTTATCCCGAAAGGGAGACTGTGTCTGTGTGTGGGTGTGACCTCAAACCCCGCCTAAACCCACCCTAAGCCAAACAACCCTAAACCAACCCACAGCAACCCCAAGCCTGACAAACTCGGACACCAAAACTCAGCTTCCCTCTATTTGGGCTTGGTGGTTAAGGAGAGGTGAATGCGGGGAGGGCGGCGGGAGGGGAATCGGCGAACCCCTCGCCACGGAGACCTGGCAATGTACTTTTTCTTTCGAACAAATCCGTGGGGTTGGTTGCAAAGGGATTTGCAGAAACAAACACTCAGCTATTTTTTTTGGTGCAACTAGTTTCCACACAGGCCAGCGTGAGGAATTGAAGTGTGGAGATGGGCGGATTCGCGTGTGTTGGTGTTTTGAGGGCATCGCGACATGTAGGAACTGTAGGAGCTATGATGTTTGGAGTTTGGATCTGAAGCGCAAGTGTAATGCCAATACCTGATCAAGAACGCCCCTTCCCGAAGGTGAGCAAGCTCAATATGGGCCGGCCCACGTGTGACCCTATCAAACTATTACTGTGTAGATTAGATTATGTAATGACATTGCAAAACCCTTGGGTTTCATCCAATCATGGCGGGGTGCAGCAGCATGATCCAGAACCAGCCAGCTGCAGCAGTGGGGCAAGGAGAAGCAAGGTATTAGTTCCTGTTGTGCTCCAGTGGTCCCAGTGCCCCCGTCGCGGTGGTGTCCCAGTGGAGTCTTCCCGATGGGCGTGCCTGCGATGTTACGGTGATATCTGGTTTGTGTTCTGGTGGTGTCCTGGTGGTGTCCTGCTATTGTCCCAGTGGTGCCTCGGGTCGTGTCCCCGTGGTGTTTCGGTGGTGTGTCGGGGGGTGTTGTGTTGGATAGACACCCTCAACGCATTTTGCGCACTTAAGGGTTCTCATCTAATTTTCCGCGGGGAATCTCTTTGGCATGGCTTGCTTTCGGATGCATTTTGACATTTCGAACTTTTTGGCAGGAATCCACGAAGGCATGGCGAGTTGATTGATCTCTCCCCCTGTTTGCCACTCACTTGCTTTTACCGATCAGCGACTTCGCTGAGGAATTCATCGGGTCCTGGTCCGGATTCGTGTCGGTGTCCTTCTGCATCATCTACGTGGCCAGCTGCTGAGGGTCAGAGTCGGAACAGAAATCCCGACGGGCCGAGTTCCGCGCAGGTTATTGGATCCAGGTTCTTGAGGGCCTGTAAGCCCACGGCTTGAGCCAAAGTGGCAGCTGGATCATGAAGTTGTCATGCAGCCGAAACGAGAGGCACCCTTCCGTTCCTTCCCTTCCCCAAGCTTACAAGGCTCTTGTTTGTGGAAAGAGAGAAGGGGTGCGGGGGAGCGGTTGAGCGCCTGAGATCAAAGAGCAGGATCCTTCTTGTGTCTGTGGTTTCCAGTTCAGCAGGGTAACATATTCCACCAAAAAGTGAGGAGCGTACTTGTAGCTCTTCTGAGGCTTGCTGACCAACCCATGTATAGTTGGGAGTAGCTCCAAAATGTGCCACGTAGAAAGCAAGGACTTCTGCAATATTGTCAGTCCGGTTTTGATTTGATTGGTTCTTTGGTTCTGTTCACTCATGGAGCACAAGGACAGTTTCCAGCGCAGTTTTTGGTTTTGCAAGGGATCTGAAACCCATGGTAGGACATGCTTGTCAAACTAGTTGGATTTTCTCTTTGGTGTTTTTTGCTTGGATGTTAGGACTTTAACTTTTTGTTCACTAGTGGGTTTTCCATTAAACCACTAAAAGTTAAACTTTTAGCAGGGAGCATAAAGCAACCGAGTACTGGTTGTCCTGTTGCATCTGTTTTGAAGCCGGCCTTTTCAGCACGGTTCACTCACAGATCCGCTCTCAGGTGCTGACCATTTGTGGCCGCTCCCCATTGCGGCGGATCCTAGATCCTGCCGGGTCCTGAGGCCGCCGATGTCATCCGAAACGGGGTACATGGCGGTCTGTGCCTGGCTGGTTGAGTCCCTTTTGGCCAGCTTAATTCATATATGCATTATATATATATATATATATGTATAGAAGCACATATATATATATATACACACCTATCTATGTGCTTTCTTGTGGGTTGATGTTCGACATTGACGTACAAGGAGCAGCGTGGAACGTTTGCCTCGCCAAGGTCTTCCTATGAGTCTCGAAGCTCTCTCTGCGTGCCAGCTTCAGCTTCTGTCCTTTTGTGGATGGACAGTTTTGACCGTCTGACTGTGTATCTCACTCGCATCAAAGACTCCATCCACAATTGGGCGTTGTGCTCCAATGCTTCCGCTTCGCTGTGGAAGTTGCTACCAAAGCTGACCTGGTTTAATAGGGAATACATAGAGGGCTTTTAGAACCCTTTCTAGCCGTGTTGGGTTTCGAACCCGCACTGGGTTGTGGGTCTCCGCTACTCATAGCTAAGTTTGATGAATCTCAATCACATCGGAAGACTCAGACCTGCTTGTACGAATTCGAACCGATGAAGCCCGCATGTAGAGGCAAGCAGACTCCTTTGACCGCTGGATGGCAACCACCTTTGATTGCCCCGAACAAGTTCACATGGGTAGATTACTCCGTGCATGGCCTTCCCGTGTTCAGTAAGTGTTTAGTACAAGACTTTCTCATGGCAAGCTGTCCTGTAAGCTCTTCAGCCTAGAAGGAGCCTGCTTGCATGTAGGATCTTTTAGGTCTCGTCTTGCACGATGGCGTATGACTGAGCGCTCCAGTGAGGAGAACATACAGCAGCGTTGCTGACTGACAAGTCCCAACCAGTTCTTCAGTGGCACCCATCTTCCTTTTGTTTCGGCAGGTTCTGGACCCTCCAAAATTGGTCAACCCTTGGGTCATTCAGCGGCTGTATCCCAGTCGTCTTGTTGCTCGGTTTTTCAGGCCAAGCGTTCTAGCTACGATCATACGGATGTGATGCTGGCAACCATGCAGGTAGTGTTGGCAAACGTCAAACCGCTGGCTGGTATTCTTTCCTATGCAAGAGAGAGTCCCAACTTGGACCACCTTTCGGCGAAGAAGCCGAGGCCAGGAGCAAAATGAAGGCCGAGGGGTTGGGATTGAATACACCGAGATTGATGTGGGCCCCTAAGATGGGTCAGGGTCCAAAAGGTGTTTCGAGCGAGACAAATGCAGGTCGCAACATGCTCAGTTGTGTTTTGGCGTCACATGTAGACAGCGTGCTCTGGAGGCAAGTGTAAAGTGCCAGGGGGGCACGGCAGATGGCCTGCCATGTCCTTCGTGACATTGCCTTCGGGGGGGAGCTGGCGACGGACCGAGCGTCCGGGCGTCCCGACCTCGCCAAAAGCGGCAAGGAGCGCAGGTGGGCCCCAGCCAAAAGCCCTCAAGAGGTAACCGGCTTCTGGCGTGGGGAGCGTCTGGATGCTTGACAATGCACAACCTTGTGACCTCACGCGGGTTCCTCTAGGAATCAATCCAGAAATTCGGGGTTGGTGAATTGTCATAAATAGCACCCAGATCGTTGGCAGCTTGCGGGCCCCGGCCCCGGCAAACTGCTTCGCCGCTTCGAATTCGCCGCACGGCGTGCGCTTTGAATTCACTTTAGGATCAGCGATCAATGTGGTCGCCTATCGGCAGCGTCCGCTTCCAGTATTCAGATTGTGAACTTCTCATATGCTACATATTGATCATCTAGCAAGTGTGCTTAAACAATGTTTTCCTTCGCCTTGCGTAGTTTTGGGGTAAAGTTGGATACTGGCAGTGGCAGGATGGCCCAACGGGGCCCAGCGGGTGCAACAGATTCACTCAGCTCTAGGGGCGAACTCGGCTGCTTCAAAGTGGGCTGCCAGGAACGGTACAGGGCCGCTGGAGGCGGCCGCCGTTCACAAAAAGCTCCCGTCCTGCAGTATTCGTAGCCACCAAGATGGGGGTCTGGGTCAAAAAAAAACACCACCAGAGCACAGATTTGAGCCCTGGTTTCCATTTCCCAGGCTTCCAATACCCGTTTTTTGACCCACCTGGAGCCAACCTTCGGCTTTTCTCCTCAGGAGCATGGATATTTACTGGCCATCTATCCCGAAAACAAAGCCCCGTGAAGGTTGCCTTTCACGAGGACATGTGGAGCACTCCGAAGGACTCCCAAGAAGTGGCCAAGCGAATTGCCGGGATTTCTGGGTGGACATCTCCGGGATCTTCCCACAGGCTGCGATCTTAAGATGCCAAAAAAGGTGGCCGCTTCGGCAAAACCCGATGCCGTTCCGATGGGTGTGTCTAAAGATTGGGGACCCCCCCAAAAAAGAAATGGGGCTGTTGGAAAGGTGACTATTCTGGGAAACATGGATTTGGCAGCTCTTTTAATGAACTCCGGCCATTTCAGATTGGCACAGCACCTATCATCATGGAATCGAGTGTGGCGTTCCTGGAACTGTAACAGGCATCCTGAGAGGCTTATGTTGGCAAGGTTACACAGTGAGTTTACATCCCAGGTTTTAGTGGCACCCCTACCCATTTTGTTCTTGTTTCAGTATAGGATATTTACAAGGGATGCACAACGAAGCAAAGGGCACCGCTTTTCCCACCGGGACCACTGTGCAAGATGACTTTCATGGCCCTGAGACTTACAATTGGGTGCAAGGGTTGACGATTGATTCCCATTTCTGTTAAAGGACAGAGGGAGACGGATGTTCGGACTCCGCAAGCTTGAGGCAGATGTTTGACTCCGGGCCTTGACTTGAGCAAGCCACTTGAGGCGTTTGGGCCAGGGGAACGCGGGCCAGGGGAACGCGGGCCAGGGGAACGCGCTCCAACTGCTGAGATGTAGTTTCTTTGCTTAGGCCAAAGAATTGGCCGGCTTTCGGATCCATGGTTAACACCCATGCAAAAAGAGCATAGAAGACACTAGCAGCGATAGCAAAAAAAACCTGGGGAGAATAGGACTCTGCTCGAAGAGCTTAACTCCATCCCTTTGTTTTCCTTCAGATCGGGGCGCGATGCCACCCGAGTGGAACCTAGGTGGTGGTTCGGAGCGGCAAGAGCCAAGTGCTGGGACAGCTCGTGGAGAAGGCGCTTCGAAACGACGCGCTGTTCGCGCCGTTCGCGCTGTTCGCCAATTGACTCGTACCAAGCCAAACGGACCAGACCAAAGTTGAGAGCATGGATGGCTGGTCGTCTTTGGATCCACGGCCACGAGATTTGTTGGACAATATCAAGTTGTGGACCTGCATCTTGGGGACGAAGTCCCACTCAAAGAAGTTCAACTTGTGATTTCCTGAGACTCGATGTCTTGGATTTATTCGAGTTGAATCTAGTCACAGATTCATTTCCAACCACCGCGCGTCGACCACCAATCCAGACGATTGATTTGAGGATCCCTGGCGTCCGACTTTGGGGTTTGCAATCCGTAAATTCGCAAATTTGTAGTCCGCCGGCTTTGCTTATGGGGGTCTTTTCAAGCTACGTTCTATAAAGTATAGCAGCCAGGTGGACACATCTAAACTTCAGTGACTCTCCGGATGGTTGGCTTTGTTGGCATTGAATAGGTTCGACTCTACAACAAGCCCGAAAGGGTTGCCTATGGTTTGTCAACAGTAGTTGCGAATGACTATTTCTGAAGAAGGATCGCAATTCCAAATGCCACATCACCGCCATCCGTCTTGTCATTCTATTGAACAAAGGTAACTTATGAGTTACAATTTCGCCTACCATAGAACCGCAAGAGGACCCCTGGCAGGTTACACGTTCGGACAATGGATGCCCACACAAATTACCCCACAACCCAGAAGATCAATGGCATCAACATCAGCGAAACTTGGCGCAGATTTGCAGGTTGTCAAACTGCCCAATTGCGTCCATTTGCATACTGTATGAAGGTTTGGAGTGGTCCGCTGCCGAGGGGTCAGAAATTGCAGAACGGAAAGAGAAAGTCTTGTTGTATGAAGGCTAAGTAAGCTAGAACATCCGGTCGCCTTAACTCCACTTCTTTTACTTCTTCACTCATTGACCCGGCGCGTGGCAGGCCCCATCTTCGCCTTGAGTTGACGCTCCAAACCCCCACCCAACCGCCACACCCCCCTTCCCCCCGCATGAACACACCTTATCACGGGCACCAGGATTTTGGTTGAAACCCTAGACAGCCCCCACCCCCCCCAACCCCACTTTGGTGCGACACTCCCAACCCCCCTCCCCCAGCCAGAAAGGTGCCAACGCATGGAACGAATTCGAAACCATCGACTCCCAGGAGTTCCAGTGCCTACAGTGCTCCCTGATGAATCCCCCGGCCGCACAAAGATGCGGCCACTGTGGCCATTCCCGGGAGGCGCGGACGGCTAGGGATTCGAACTTACAAAATGGTGGTTGTCCTTTTGGTTTCCCTCACCAACCCAAAAAGGGTACCCTCAAGACACACCCACTTTTTGAGGTACCCCTGAACACATGGAACATATAAGGGTGATTTGTGTGCTCGAGTGAAGGACCCCTGACTTTAAATCCCAGAGGCAAACAACGGATCTTAGGAGTCTTCGGCTGGGGAAATCTCCGGGGTGGACGAATCAGACGCCTCAGGGAAAGCGAACCGTTGCATGTCGCCCTGATTTAGATTCCGAAATCTTCAGCCATGAGGGCACGTTGTCGCTCGATATCTCAGCTCGTCACATGAAATCAACAAGGCAAAGCAGAGGTTGTATTACCATCGAACTTTCCGTCGCCATGTCCTCGCTTCAGTCGCGGTGAATTCAACTGATGCTTCTCTCCTAATACAACGGGTCATCAATGACTCCAGTTTGCGCAGGCTTGTTCGAAGGCATGTCTCTTTGGTGCAGTTGTGTATGTGTAAGTGTAAGGGTAAGTACGCGTTAGTGTGAAAAGCCGGCACGTGTGTTTTCACATTTCGTTGCCAGCTCACCTAGGGGGAAATCGAGGTTGCACAGATGAAGGCTCCTCTGGGCTGAGAGATTGCAGCTATGGCTTCTTGCCATCGGGGATTGGCCACTTGGCACGCAGCCCTTAGAGCTGGATGCCAGAGAGTCCCAAAGAATATGTTTCCGAGGAATATTATGGCTGCGGCTCAAAAGGATGTACCCAAAATGGCCCATAAATAAATGAAAACAAAGACCAACACCTGCGTAACCCTAGCTCTTGAATTTTGAGCCACACCCATATGTTGCCTTCCAGCGCCGCTTGGATGTCTCCTAGGAGCAACGCTCCAGGTGTCGGGGAGCCAAGATAGCCTGAAGCTGGCGTGGGGGTCGCTGGAAGTTTTTTCTTCTTCTTCTTTTTTCCCGGGTCCCTTGAAGTGAGCATTTTGAGAAAATCTGTACCTGGGGTGAGTTGGGCAGAATGTGTTTCAATGGCCACCCCTATAAAGGGATACCTTCATGATGTTTAAGCAGCAGTGGCGTAAGCATGCTGAAGCAGGTGGCTTTTGTTGACGTTGTAGGGAAAGCATGGCAAGTGCTTTCTCACGCATCCAGAAGAGGCTGATTTGTTTGTGAGACTGCCAAGAGTCTTGGGTCAAGAGCTGCCCAGCTACTGGATGGAGGGAAGCTAGAGAGTTGGTGCTCAGAGGATTCAGAGGATTCAATGGCCCCTTCCAAGCATTCACAAACCCGAAGGAGAGTGGTTGCAATTTCCAGACCCTGGAGAACAAATCCTGTTTCAACGCCCACGTGGACCCCAAAACTTGAAGGATGCTTAAGCTGCCCGTGTAAGAGGTAGATGCTCACCAGACTGCCCAATTGGTTGAAGGATACGACTCAAGATCTGAGCCGGGGGTACTGCGATACACGCCACGCCCCCCCATCACAGCTGGCTTCATCGGCCTACCAGTAGCGAATATCAGGTAAAGCTAGGCACTGCCTCTATGCTATCATGTTGTGCCATCATTTTGCTCATTTGCTCAATTTCTCTTGGGGAGGATCTTCCCCTTGACAATCGTGCAGCTCGCGGCCAAGTTTCAAGAGAGTACGTCCACGGGGTCGCTTAGCTAGAGGCCACAGGCTGAATTCGAAGGTCTCTGGGGAGAAGGTGTAGCCGCCTTTAAAGAAGCCTAGCCGACTGCTGTTGTTTGCTTCTTCAACCTTACCGCCTCCGGCTCAGACCGCCAAAATTCCAGGCCTGCTTTCTGAGAGGTGTCTTACAGGTACACTGCATGTGCACAGGAGAAACTCCATTTGGGAAGGGTCCGTTCAATTGATCTCGTTGGTCAACGTCTCCCTGCTGACAGCGCTAGGAAGCTACCACTCACGGCTGCGTGCAATGAGCAGAGATGGGTGTTGGGGCTTCCTTTGCTTACAGGAGTGCTACTGATGCAATCAAGTTTTGTTAGGGTGATCTCGTTGTTTCTTTTGCGTGCACTCTTTTTTTGGAAAGGTCCCACAAGACATGAATAAGCACCTTTGGTTTGTCTCTCTTTGTTCATGGTCTTTTCCCTAGCATCCGCGAAAAGAAGGCAAGGTCCTTTTTCCGTTTGAACACGCGGGTTTCAAAAAAGCAAAAGGTTCAATCTTTGGATATGGTTGATATGTGCCGCGAAGCCCATTTCTCAGGGCAGGGATTTCGGTGGGCTGGTCATTAGTTGGGGTCTCTGCTCTTTGAACCCGACCTGTTTTGGGTCAAAAGCAGATCTGGGGCTGGAAAACAGCGGTTTGAGGCGTGAGTCATCATGGTTTGCATGGGGGTAACATGGGCTGATTGGAGGCGAACTGAGGCTTGATTCCGTTTGAGCGAGGCGCTGAAGCAAGCTCACAGACGTAGCTAGTTGCCCAGAACCGCCCCTTTGAGCCTCTGGATATGCTGCGTATGCTTTTTCAATCTTGCCACCCAGGTTGGCATTTTCCTGGTGGCTTGGGGCGTGTGCGCCCTTTCTTCTAGTCTATCGCCTTTGGCGGAAAGGGGGTTGCTTTTCACCGTGTGTTTCGCCGTGCCGAATCCGAACTGGGAAGCCCAGGGGCGGAGCATTTCAATCCGGGAGAGCAGTTGGAGCTGTCCCAGCTCCAGTGGCAGAAGCGGCTCAGGCGAAAGGGAGATCATGTGGCCGGGTTTCCCGTGAATGGATCTCTGGTTTACTCGGCAGATGAACTCAAAGACTCAACAGAGACACCCATCAAAGACGAGCAAATGAACCTTCTTTCGGGCACAAACCGCTTTGGCAGTTCCGTGTATATCTGCCGACGAAAACGCCCAAATGCAATTCTAAGATGGTTTCGGATACCCTATTTTTTGCTCCCTGGAGCCTCCAAGTCTCTGTACACACAGAATAATCGCCCTCCTTTCCTACTGTCTAGTGGTTGTCGACTCACTTGTTCCAATTCACAAATCTCAAATAAGCAATGCACCCCAGGAAAGGAACGGGCAGCAACGCCCTGGCGAGGTCGTTATTATAATTTGCCCGGACACCTGACCTGGCGGGGAGGTTTCAACAAAAATAAACCATGATAAATCCCCTTGTCGTGTCTTTGACATCAACACAGATTGGCGATGTCGCACCTGCTGAAAGTACGCCACATCGTTTCACACCAAAAACTATCACATTGCATGAAACTACAAAGAAGATGCATGAGGAGTCGATGGAGGAGCTGGCGAGCTGTGCGTTGAAGGGTTGGCAGCTGGAATCCACAACTCCTTGCCCCGCCGTGGGTCAAAAAGGGCATGCCTTTGTTGTTGGTCAAGTTGAATGCCACTGGATGGGTTCAGCTCCGCAGCTCACGCCATGCTTCCTTCACTAGCAGAGCAACGCAGTAAGGAAGACATGGACTCCCAGACGTATAGATTAAAGAAGCAGCTTTAAGGGGGTGCGGCTATTGTCCCCAAAGGGGGGGGACCTGGGATGGAAACGGAGACGCGTAGTTTTGTACTAATGACAAGCTGACTGAACGCGGCAGAAACTTTGAAAGAGGTTCACCATGAAGGTTCCTTCGAGAGTCCTCAAAGATTGGTGAATGGGAGGTGCAGATGCATTCTGAGCCAGTCGTTTTCTTTTTTACCATTATATTGATAATGATCCCTCAGTTTTGTCTTTTGCACGATGCGTTGACCGGATCTTGAGAATGCTTCTGCGAGGGCTTGAGCAGTTTACTTATGGTTGGTAGGAGCCCTCAATCCAGACGTTTCACGACCACTACAAGGCTTCCTCTTAAGGAAGCGAAGACCATGATCCACATCAGGAAGTTTGACCATGGCCGATGTGCTGAGAACTTGTAAATGAGTTCCGAGATTATCCTCATGTTGGTTTCCATTCAAGCCTGTGCCAAAGTCGTCCACTTGTAACACAGAGCCAATTTTCAACGTCACGTCTCCCAAATTGCCTTGGCAGTGAGTCAGAGGTGGCCAGCCCCTGGCACCGGCTAATGATATCTTGAGTTGGGTTCAATTCTCACTATCCGGATGATTCTTAGGGAAACATTTTGGGTATTTCCTTTTGTCTGGGGCAACTTCAACTTGGTGGAGTTCCTTTGGGGTTTCCCTTGAAACACCACAACAAAGGGGTACCGCCGAAAAACGCCACCCAGTTGGACATATCTGAAACGGCACTTGGCACATTCCCGGCTCGTGGCCTGTTCTTGGAGGCCCAGAAACGCCAAGGAGAAGCCTAGCGGGGACTCTGCTTGGGGGTTGGGGCTTGGCTCCTTGCCAAATGGCTGTGGCTCAAAAAACCAGTACCCGAATGGGTTGCCCTGGAAAGTAGAAACATGGATCAAAACCTGCGGTTTGCCCCTGTTTAATTTTGAGCCACACCCAAATAAAGGGGGATTCCATGGGGCGCTTTGTGGATTTTAGGAGTCCTTTGTGGTGTTGAAGGGCCCCTTTGTCAATGTGCGTTTGCAGTGGGCTCCTTTGCAAAGATGATGGAGAGCAAGCCTGTGCTTTCCTGTAGGAAACTTCTGAGCAAGCAATAACTTGAACTTGCTGATAGCTCGTACATGATTAACCTGGCTTTCTTTGGTGGTGCTCAATGCCGGGCCCCCGAGGAAAAACACCCAGGTAGGATTCAGCGCAGCCGCGGGAGTGGATAATTCAGTGTCAGCAGCCACTCTATGTGGTTGCTTATGTGGGGCTGGACGCTGCTCCCATGCAGATTAACACGTCACCCAGAAAGCCACAATTGGTAAAGGAGCTCCCTCTGGGGGACCCGCTTTTGGGGTTCCATGTGAGTTTGTAGGGGAGTATTCGTTCTTGTTCCTCGCCATTTTGCACCCAGAGATTTTGCAGTTCTGCCGCGTACGGTGCATTGCACACCTTGTAATAGGGTTCAAACTTGTATCCATTAATCGTGCCATCCGTCCCATTCCATTTGGAGCACACGTGCCAAGTCGGCAGGTGTTTTTCACTTCAAGCTTCTAACCTGCCACATATTCCCCCCTATCCCACCTATCCCACCTATCCCACCTATCCCACCTATCCCACCTATCCCACCTATCCCACCTATCCCACCTATCCCACCTATCCCACCTATCCCACCTTTCCCACGCAGACAGAAGGCCACCCAGGTGCGGTGTGTGTCAAGGGTGTTCGGTACGCGACAGTTCACGCCAGGAGAGCTCCGATGGCTCGGGGTCCGAGTAGAGAAAAAAATCGGAGAAGTGGGAGAAGAGAAAAAGCAAGGGGAAGGTCTTGTGTTAGAGGATTGATTCGTATGACTTTGATTAACTTTGGTTTGATTGCCTTTGATTAACTTTGATTAACTTTGATTAACTTTGATTAACTTTGATGACTTTGATTGCTTGGTGTGGTTCCACGACTTTGGTTTTTGCGGTGCTTCGTGTTTCGCTCGTCCGGTGGTGCTTTTGTTCGTTTTTGATCTCAGGCTGCAGCCCCGGTTCCTGGAGCCGGGAAGCCAGGCGCACGGAAAGCAAGCGCGGCACGAGCCGAGGGCTTGACGCAAAGGTCGGAGGAGCCGAACTGCTAAAAAGAGAAGGACATGAATTTTAAGAATTGGAGCCACCTCATGACGATGACGATGATGATGATGATGTTGATGATGATGATGATGATGATGATGATGATGGCGATGATGATCAGTGAAGCGGGCGGCATAAGACACACACACACACATGTATATATATATATATGCATCCGCGTACACCGGTTTGTGAATGAGTTCAATTGAGTGGACAAGTTGAAACAGGACATGTGTGGAACCCAAGCCTGCCTTGCTTGTGGGTTGAATGTGATGATCTCTAACCACAACCCAAGGGTTTCGATTCAACGCGGAATCTAGATGAATTCATGTTTTGAGCGTAGCATGAGCAAAACCTTCTACCGAAGTTATCACTGTCAGTCAGCCAAGGTGGTTGTGGGAAATGCCGACATCGTCAATACAGCTGGTAGGCCGAGCCCATGATCAATCAATCCCCTTTCAAAAGGGCAGATTCGCTGGTATCATACATAGAAGGACGCTGGCCCAGCGCATGATCAAATCCTCATATTACTTTGTTGACACAAGTTGGACTCTGAAAATCCTGCGCAGGGGCTGTCGGCGGCATCTCAGGCAGGGCACAGTCAAAGATTGGCACATGAACCAAGTCTCACAGCTCACGGCCAGAGAAATCACAGCCTAAGATGGTTTCCACCCCCAAACCGTTACTGTTGAGGGAGTCTATACCTCTGTCGAGCGGCTGGTGGCTATATCATTGTGGCCATCCAGGTGCCTGTTGCTCCCGGAGGAGCAGCTACTGCAGCTACGGCAGCTTTTGGCGCCCTGGCGTTTCTTTCGATGTCTGGAGTTCGCTTCCTTGGTTTCCTGGTTCACTTTCCGTTGAAGCCGTGTGGGTTTCCCGGGCAAGAAGATCGAAGCTGTATGGTATCCGCCCGCAGTTGGCCGAGGTGGAGAACCGCCTGAACCTGCGTCCTGAGGATCGACCCGGGGGAGCGGAGCTTCGGACGGCCTTGGAAGAGTGGGGGGTCTGGCACCGCACCGCACAGATGAAATGGCCGTGGCTCAAAAAACCGGATTGCCAAAATCAAACCTGGGAAGTGGAAGCATGGACCAAGACCCGCGGTTTGCCCCTCCTGTTTGATTTTGAGCCACACCCAAATCTCCAGGAAGCGCAAGGGAACACAACCTTGGCTTGGGCGAATTCTCGGAAGTTTAAATCGAGTGAATGCAGCGCAGCTCCCTTATTTCTTGTCGGGACAGGTGTGGTCTTAGCGGGGCTACATTCCGCACTGGACGCTCCTGTTTTCAGCTGCTTCTGGCTTACAGCTCAAGATGCCAACAGGAAACCTAACCAGCAGGGGGTGCTCCGTGCCCTGCTACAGCATTCGTGCCTTTGCTACCTTTGCCGTGCGTGCGCTTCCGCAGCTCAGCTTCAGCGGTGCCCTCTGTTTGCAAGCGAAACTCAAAGGAAGTTGCCCATTCGGGAGTGTCCAACGTTTTGAGGCAAACCAAATGCCATACGTTGCTGCACCAGGGACTTCTTTTTCCAGCTTCAGGTGCCTCAAATGGATTTGCCTAAGGGAGGTTCCCGCTTTCATACACAACATGTTGGTAAGAGGCTCAGCGGAATCCGGCGAAACAAAAGTCTTTGTCCAGGGGGCCTGCGTTTCAGAGCAATCTGTACACGAGGTGTCCTTTCAGATCATTTTGGTTTCAGCTTGGTATCCGGTTGTTGACTAGCCATCAATTTTCGTAAAAGGCACCCAGGGTCCGACAATGGATCCCCGCTGACCAACTGTCGGCAAACATCAGCGTGCTGAAGTTGGCTTGCTATTTGTTCATGTTGGTTGCGCAAGGAAATGGTCACCGGGAAACATTTCATGTTTAGTTGCACCGACAGTAAATGGAAGTAGTTTGCTAATTTTAAATGGGAACCACCTCAAAGGTGGTGGACATGAATCCCAACATATAAGTGATTTCCAACAGAAGGCCCCTAAATGAGAACCATGCAACCACTTGTTGTCTTTCACGCAGGAGCTGCGAGTTGCCAATCCTGCGGGGGCCGTTGGCTCGAGAGAATTGCGCCCCATTCGTTTTTCGGTGCGGCAAATTTCATGGCAGCTCTTGGCCCCGTCTTTCAGCAGGTGGGCGGCAGATGCAGCCCAGTTTCACCCGCCTGCTTGGAACCGGCTCGATGGGGTGGGGCTTTAGTTGAAAGGCGTCCAAGAAAGGGCGGTCCTTGTTCGCATTGCCACCGCGCAAGCTCCCTTCACTCTTGAACATCCACACAAAGAGGAGGCACCATGTCCTCATTAGCGGTTGAGCTCATTTCGCGAATCGCGAATCACCTTGAGCAGCTCCCAAACCCAAATTGGCCAAGTTTGATAGAGAGTCCGACTAAAAGAGCTAGGGGATTTTGGCTGGATTCTTGGGCACTCAATAGGACTCTGCTTGAAGGGAATCCAACCTACTGATTGCGCAAACAGAATACATATTTGGGGTGCCACCCATTTGATTGAGGATGCATGCACAGGGGATGCTTTCATTCGAGCGCCGTGAAACTGGGGGGACCCTTTCGAGTGTCAAAACAAAACCCAGCTCCTCAACCACATGGGACTTGAATGCACCCAGTCCAGGTAGCATCTCGATGGTTACCAGTTGATTCCCCGAGAATTTCAGTCTGTTTGCACCCGTTTTGGGGTGGACGGCACAGCTGGGGCATTCAAACAAGCTTTTGTGGGAGAAGTACTCGAGTGCCTCTTGTTATAATGAGGTGAGCCCGTGCAACCCGAGAGGCGGCCTAGCCGCCTGGATCCTTGAGAGACTTGGTTTGCTTCGGGTTTGGTTCACACAGTCCAGGAGTCCCCGAAGAGGCGATTTCAATCATCCTTCAGTATTTCCTCTTCTTTCTTTTTTTTAATTCTTCTCCGGACCGAAATCGTCGTTTGTTGGTTTGGATGAATCTTTTTTCAGGCGAAAGGACGGGTTTGTTCTCTTGGCGGGGGGCGTACCGTTTTTGCGGCTGGTTTCAAAGGATCCTAGAAAGGGGCATCCATGACCATGATCCAGGTTTGTCACTCACTCACTCAAGTTCGCACGGGGCCTCTGGGCGCAGCTGATTTATTGGGGGGGGGGGGGGGATCAGGCCCAAAAACGGCAACAGATCCAGGTTGGTCTCTAGGGGACTTCCCTCAATGAGTGGTTTTTCGGTGTCTTCCCTTAACCAGCAATCCCAAAATGGCTAGTTTCCCTCCAAAAGCGCCAGAGTTTTGACCATCAGGCAAGCTGGTGTCCCCCGACGACTTCAAGATCTGCTCAGAAGACGATGATCTGACGTTCACTAACGTGCAGCCGACCTGCCCTAGCAAAATTGGCTTGTTGCGGGCGGAATGGAAGGCGGGGTCTCGGGGTGGACGGCGCTAGCACAGAAAGGGCAACTTCCAGCACGACATGCTGGATTGGTCAAATCTGACATCACAAAGACCACGATTTCCATGACGCCAAATGAGACTGCTCGCGCGCTTGATTGTCCCTTTTCAGGGGATCAGAAGGTCCAACAAAAACGGCTCCCTCTGTTTTTTTAAATCAGCCCTCAGGTGGTTGCAAAAGGCTCACTGAAAGGTGGTGGAATTATGATACGTTTTTCATACTGATGAACAGTGCTGCAAAAAGCAGAGTGTATAGTATATTCTGTCAGAGGGCCCAAATGTCAATCATGCCAAGAAACAACTCCTAGCCGTGGATCTTGGGAAGATCAACAATAGTGGAAAGTGGGTTGGTCAGTCCCTTTGTGGTGATTTCTCAATAGGAGTTCAGGATTCAGGATTGAGGTTGGCCAACCCTCTTGCAACAGCCCCAAGTTATTGGGAGTTGGGGGCTCGCCCCAAATGGCCAGTGAACAGACAATGCAAGTTTTGAGTTTCGCCCCTCATGGGGTTGGGTTCCCCGTCTACGCGACTTGTGAAGCTGAAGGAGACGTGGCAAGTCTTGCCGGGAGAGCTTTCAAACTGAGGGAGACGCAAAAAAAACGACCCGTCATTTCCAGTTACGCAGGGATGGCTTCTCTGGAAGGTTGGAGGAAGAAAGCAGGTGACTCGGGAGAAGCTCACGATGAGTCCTGTTTGGAGAGAGCAGCCAAACTATCCCCCCTTTCGAAGGTAGAGAGCTTCTGAAAGGGCCCTAGGTTGAAAGCAACATGGTGACCCTGTAGGACCAAAAAGCCGACGTGTAGCGCGCTTGAGATGTGGCTTGCTCGGCTTTTAGACGGAGTCTGGTTCAGTGCCTCAATGGCAAGCCTGGACGCACCAGTCTTCCCCAATTCTCGGAGATTCATATGAGCGTTTTTTCAAGGTGGTGCATGTGGCAGCGAAACACAGGGCCAAGGGATTGCCCTATCACGCGAATTGGGCAGGAACATCAAGTGGATCTGCGAAAGCAGCAGCTTCAGGCCAAGGTGGATGAGTTCTTGAGGCGCGTCTGGGGATCACGTGTCCGAAATTTGGTGGTTGAACATTTGGTTGGAAGGAGTGGACGGTGTTGATAGAAGCCAAAAGGATACAGGCCATAGCCGAAAGGATAGCAACAACTAGATTTGGACACCAGATTTACTCCGATGGCTGCATGTGGTTTCCAAATTTGCCGGAGTTGCTTTTGGGGGTGTTAAGAGACGCTGCTATGGGGCGCGATCCTGAAACGTTGCAGCCACTATCTTGCCATAAGCAAAGCAGCCACGCTGAGGATGAAGAACATGGAGCCTTGAAAACGAGATTCCCCCTGACACTTGGAACGGGATGCTTGTCAACTGTACAAGGGGGAGTGAAACGAGTGCACTTGCGGAAGCTTTTTGGGTGAGATCCCCTCGCTTCAACCGAATGCTTGGGGCGCAAAGGCACGGACCTCAGTTTCGGAGCCTACAGCCTTTCAACATTTACTTCGGATTTGTCAGGAAGTCCCGTCCCTTCTTTGGCGAATAGTTTTTTGTTTGGGCAGTCATCTGGAACTCCAGTGGCCAACGCGGTGTTTGAGAAACATCCAAGGCTCACACTACTGACATCATGCTATGACTAGACCCGAAGGGCTCAGGAACACATCACCAGGCGATGACTAAAGAGCATTGTATGGCACTTGTGGCATATCTGGCAGTCAATGCTCCGGGACTGCAGCAGACGCAATGCTCCGACATTACATCGCCTTCGCCCGAAGCCAGACCAAAAAGCAAGCAAACGGCAAGTAGGGCTGAAAAGACAGCTATAGTGGCCCAGGAAGTTTGAAACGTCCGCCCCCACGCCTCGCTGGTTTCGCTGGGCTTGCTGACAAGACGAACTGGTTGTAGCCTGCGTCGCTTGCAGAGTTCAGTGCCTCCTCATCTGGGAAATGAAAGCTACTCTACCAACTAACATGGAACCCACCAAAGGATGCCTGAAAGTTAGTGGGGGGTCAAGGGCTTTGGATTGGCAAGAGTCGTTGCATCTACTTAGTTAGCCAGCTACTTAGATCGCTTACTCGTTTGCTAGTTAGCTAGGTGTGTAGCTACTTTGCTGGTCAGCTAGTTTGTGAGTTAGCTAGCTAGCTAGGTAGGTTGGCTAGCTCGTCAGATATGCAGCTAGCTAGTTGGCTATTTAGCTCGTTGGCACTCAGCTCACGAGCAAGCGAGTGAGCTAGGTACCTTGTCGAATAGATTGCTAGATGGCTACTTCTTCGATAGTTGGCCAGCAAGTCAGCTAGCCAGTGAAACATCCGAAATAAGACGCGAGTTGTGCAAGGTCGCCCAAACACCGCAATGCAAATGTGTCGACTAGAAGGTCGACTCGGCGAAAGTCCGCCGAGGGGTCAATTTGATGGCTGCCAAGCAGTGCGCGCGGCCGTGCCAATAGCGCAGAAGTTCTTGTAAACCTCCTTCAAGGGAAACCAACCACCATGACCAATCCATTTACCAGGTGAGTTGAGAAGGAGGGCGGGTTTTATTTCCCCAGATAGCTGAAAGCTAAAGGGGTTCTAACTTCTAATAAAGAAGGGAAAGTGATTTGCGAGATTGAGTGCTGGGGGGCATGCAGTTTGGGGTGCTGGTGGAGGTGCTGTTTTGCGAGCTTGACGGCCGGGTGCTAGGGGGCATGCAGTTTGCAGTGCTGGTGGAGGTGCCGCTTTGCGAGATTGACGGCCGGGTGCTAGGGGGCATGCAGTTTGGGGTGCTGGTGGAGGTGCTGTTTTGCGAGATTGACGGCCAAGTGCTAGGGGTCATGTAGTTTGGGGTGCTGGTGGAGGTGCTGTCTTGCGAGATTGACGGCCGGGTGCTAGAGGGCATGCAGTTTCGGGTGCTGGTGGAGGTGCCGCTTTGCGAGATTGACGGCCGGGTGCTAGGCGGCATGAGATTGACGGCCGGGCGCTAGGGGTCATGCAGTTTCGGGTGCTGGTTGAGGCGCCGCTTTGCGAGATAGGGGGCATGCAGTTTCGGGTGCTGGTGGAGGTGCTGTCTTGCGAGATTGACGGCCGGGTGCTAGGAGTGCTGGTGGAGGTGCTGTTTTGCGAGATTGACGGCTGGGCGCTAGGGGTCGTGCAGTTCGGGTGCTGGTGGAGTTTGGAGTGTTGGTGGAGGTGCTGTTTTGCGAGATTGACGGCCAGGTGCTAGGGCATGCAGTTTCGGGTGCTGGTGGAGGTGCCGCTTTGCGAAATTGACGGCCGGGCGCTAGGGGGCGTGCAGTTTGGGGTGGCGGTTTTGTGTTGCTGTTGGAGGTGCTGCTGACCGTGTGGGCTTATTTCCCGGACAACTGGAAACCATAGACTTCTAATGAGTGCTGTTCAGTTCAGGTGCTACCACACCAACGCAGCACCCGCGCCAGCACCGGATATGTCCCCGAGCACCCTGCCGTCACGTACTATATGGATGGCAGGGTGCTAGGGCGGGTGCTGTTTGAGGTATCGCGGTTGTCGCATCAGCATGATGCTGGCCGCGGCATCATGATGCTGTCAGCAGCACCATGATGCTGTTGAACCGATTCGGACGTTGTTGCTGCTCTCACTATCGCGCGTAATGGTTCGTGGCTTGTGTGTGATCATGATGTTGTCAACCACGTTATGATGCTGCTGCAATCGCTGCGGTGCCGCGTTATCAGTGGTGGCGGGCATTGCTGTCAACATCAGGGTGATTCTGAATTTCATTTCACTGTCGCAAGCCGATTCGTGGCTGTGGTGTCATCAGGATGCTGCCGTTGCCATCGCCATGATGCTGTGAACATCATCATGATGCTGTCCGCATCATCATGATGCTGTCGAACTCATCAGGACGTCGTCTCTGCCTTTTTTCTGCTAGATATGTAGCGCGGAATCGTTCGTGGCTGGTGTGTCGGCATCACCCTGTCAACATCATTGTTTTGCTGATGGACTCACTAGGACGTTGTTTGCGCGTCTATGTAGCGCACTATGCTGAGTAGCTGTGGTATTTTCATGACGCTGTCAACATCATCAAGATGCTGTCAACATCATCATCATCATCATCATCATCATCATCATCATCATCATCATCATCATCATCATCATCATCATCATCATCATCATCATCATCATCATCATCATCATGCCGCCGTGGTGTGCTATTTGGGGTCTATGCTGGTGTAATTTCGCAATCGAACGATTCAAGCAAAGTCGAGAGTTGAGAGACTTGACTTTACCGTTCGAGACCAGGCCTAGGTACAACAGCTCGCGTAGGGCCTCCAATCAAGGGCTGCTTGTCGCGCACCCTGAAGGTGTAGAAGGGTCCCGCACTGTGTAACCTACAGCCACACACGGTGTAAAGGGTACACCCCAAGCGGCACATGACTCTTGTACCTGCTAGGCAGAACCACTTCGCGGATGTGAACGAGCCCCGGATCACGCGCTGTGGCTTCAGGCAGAAAGAAACCCAAACATGGCTCCAACTTTGTGGGGCAGTTCCCTGTTCATTTGCCCTTTGGCTACCTGAGGAAATCATTTACGGTAGGGGGGCTACTTTTCTCGGCTGGGGTGGATTGTTTATCTTGGCCTGTTAGCGTTTGAACAGCCTGGTGGTTAAAGGATGTTTAATCGTGGTGGTATGGGCGTAGCAAACTACTCCTCCAAACCCAGCCATCTAAACTTTTCAATCGACCCCTATTCGGCGGGAATTGCAACCACTTCAGAAAGAAGGCCGCGCTGTTCATCTCAACCTGGTTTCCACTTGCCGGCTTGTTGTTGTCCTTTCACTTTCTCTTTTGGCTTCAAGGGTTAGTGGCAAATATATGGGTTTTGAGTGGGTTGACAACGCGAATGAGGTGGTTATCACAATGATATTTCTCTCTCTCCCGAGGATGGACACCCCCCTGCGTTTTGGGAGGGTTCTCTTGGTATCTTGTTATCGTCTCATTCCTGCCCCAAGTCAGAAGGACTTGGAGGTGGGGAGCTTACAAGCCACTTCCATCCAAAATCCGCGCCTGAAACGCCAACTTTCCCCGGGAAAGTCTGGGCAACTTCCTCAACAGTACGGGGTCATTTCAAGAATCTACCGCAAGGAGGCTTTTGTTTTCTTTCCCAACACCTGCAAGCTTGCAGTATGCCTAAATCCTAGATGACCAAACGCGCGGCAAAGATGGGGCATTTGGTTGCAGTCATTTTTTCTGATGTTGTTGCTTTCTTCTGTTATTCTTTTGGTCTCCGGGTTGGCTTTTTGGCTTTCTGGCTTCCGCGGTTTGTCGTGGCTTTGAGTGGTTTGTGGCCTTGGCTTTTCATGGCTTTGCGTCTCCTCAGCAACGCCAGCAACAGCCCAGCATCAAAATAAAATGGCACTTGCGCAGACGCTTGCGCGTGCCCCAAGACACCTCAAAGCGATCGGCAGCCTTCCAAGACCCCGCGCCTGCACTGCGAAGCGACACGCTACGTCGCAAACGCTATGGTTTGCGCACGGGCGCAGCAAAAACAACATGTTGCAAGTCATAGACACCTTTTGTGACCTGCTAATGCTGGCCAATGCTTGCGGAGGCTGCCAACGCTTGCGGAAGCTTGCGAACGCTTGCGGACACGGCGCATCTCGCGAACACATGCTGACCCCCAGGCCCGTTTCTATCACAGGATAGCTTCTGCTACGCACTCGGGAATCAATTTTGTTGCGGCAGCCGGCAGGTACACCTACCCACTGGCGCTGGCTGCACAAGCACAAGATGCGGCCATGGTGCTGATGCTAATCCGCTGCGGGGCCAACCCTATGCAGCGGGACCACCGGAACCGCACGCTCTTCAACTATTTGACCGACCAGGCCTTCGAATCGAATCGTTACCTGGGAGAAGTTGTCCAAATGTCAGAATGGTCCCCCCTTAAACCCAGGACCCCCACGTTTGTGTAAAGCATGGTGCTTTGAGCTCAATGGGATGGACCAGGGAGTTGGAGAGCTTTGTTAATTTCTATCAATAAATGCACCCTATGAACAAATGTCGGTTCAAGGATCCCCAATACTACATTTAGAATGGGCAATTCCTAAAGCAATGCAGAACTAGAACAGGCTCCCTGCCAAACACAACCAAAAAGGGCCCAAAGACGGCAGGGCTGATGCGCGTGTCCTTTCTGTTTTCCGTGAGAAAGGATTTGACTGGCTTCAGTTTGGTTCTTTTCATGCATGTTTCGGAAAGGACACATGCGACCGGAAAGTGGAGAACACAAGCCCGATTTTGTTTGCTGTTTCAAGGCTGTTGGAACAGAACAGGGCTCAAAGAGTTTTGCCGTGTTGAAGGCTTTGTTTGGATCGCAAAGACTTTATTTGCTGGTTGTTTTTGCTGGCTTTGAAGGTCTCTGCAAACCTCTTGGGGTTGACTGTGCGAATGGTAGAACCATGGCAGAGAAAAAGGGGCAATGAAGGACCATTTGCCTCCCACCAATTAAATTCGCAAAGACCCGCGGTGCCAGCTTCTTTGACTGACTCCCCGAGTTCCTGGATTTCAATCTTTTTGGGAAAGCCGTTTTGGCTGCACGCCAACAGCTTGGCTCTCAGGAATCGAGTTGAACACATGGACCAACCCTGCGCAGGACATGTGTGTGAAGATTTGTCAGCTGCATTTGAGGATGGAGGCGGCGCGGTCCCATGCAGACAAGCGGATCAAGAGCGCATGTCGCAAATAAATCAGAAGGAGGATCATACCCTTCCGCACATGTACACATATGCATGATTGTGTATACACAAACGTATAGGGGTGTAAACGGTGTGTATATACGTGTATATATATATATACATACATACATAATTCACCTTGGTGTGCATTGACAGTCTTCTGCATACTATGCTGCGTGTTTCGGTCGAAGGAACGGGTATGACCACCTGACTTGTTGGGTGGGGCAAGGTTGGTTTGAGAGGCAGAGACCTCCCTCTGCTTGCAGGGAAACCCAAACACGACTTGTTTCAAGAACAGTTGCTTGTGGTTCTCAGTAGATGACGGAATGCCCTCTACGAGCCATCCCTTGTGCTTGAGAGGATGCCTGGGTTCATTGCTGGAACCCTTGTTGATTCCTGACTGCGAAGAAGCAAGTGGATGCCGAAGCAAAAGCTTGGCCCCACCCTTGGCAGATTGCCACGCGGCGGTAAGCTGCAAAGTCGCTGTACAGTGCAATGGTTATTTTCAGAATTTGTGTGACTTGGCGTCGCAGTTGCTGCAGTGTTGCTGGCAACTCAACTTTCTGGATGGTTTAAACTGTTGCAGCTGTTTGTTGTTCGAGTCCATTTTAATGTGTTGCGGAGTTATCGTGCTGAACATGGCAAGACATATTGGCTGTGAATTGGAATATATTCCAACCACACGAGTTGAAGTTAAGGTGAGGCTTGCTGCCGGACTGACATCTGGCTGGCGGCAATGATGCACGTGCACCAATCAATCATGCAGGTCGACATGGCCGAATAAATGCACTTAAGATATTGGCTGCCTTGGCAGCCTCGACATAAAGTTCTGGCTTGTAGATATTTTGCTGGGCAGTGTGTGGTGTCTCAAATTGTCCACGCCCTCTGCTTGCAGCGTTTGTCCGTCTCCTTCCCTTGGCCTAAGGGAGAATTACATCTGTGCCGTGGTAACTCATCTGCTTCTTCGGGTGTAGCTCATTGACCCAGCGGGATCATCTTGTGAGACTTGTAGTGCTAGCCCACCCGGCGTTCTTGGTTGCCAGGCAGGGGTCCGGCAGGGGCGGCTACGCCTATGGTGAATATGCGTGATTGACAATGGCCATTGATGCCGCTGCACAACCAATATCTCAATACTTTGAATGTGGATGAGGCTTGCGTACGCTTGCATCACATAGAAGTCAATGCAAGGGAGTGGGGTTCTTTTTTGACCCGTTTCTTCGAACGCCGCATCCTAATTGTCATCTCACAAAAAAAATCGTTTGCCTATTCTCAAGGCTGCTTCCTTGAATTCTGAGCATTGAGCTTTGCCCATTGAACGACTTGTCAAGGCACCTTGCTCTGGAGGTATCTTTTCAAAATTCCGGTTCCTGAGTCATCACGTTCTTGCCCAAATCGCCATTCTTAGGTGCAATTCAGGCATTCTGAGTTTGCTGGCATCTTTCTCTTTCTGCAAATTTATATGTATGATGCGGGCTTCGCGCAATCCTGGTTCTTGAGTTCTCAATATGAAGGGCATCAAAAACTAACATCTGAAGATGCTGCTTGCATCCTGCATCTCAAGTTCAGGCCAGTTGTCAAAGCTGCTTCTTCTCAAGGCTTGAGAAGCTTGCTCTTCTTCCAATTCCAAAGTCCTCATCCGGTGGTGTTCGCTCGTTGATTGTGTTGTCTGAAGCACACGCTAGCCGGACCATGAAGGTCTAGGATCCGGGGTCCTAGGCATTGTTTCAACGAGCTCACCCAATCGCCCACGTTGCATGTTTTGTCACAACGACTCCGCGTTTGTTTGAGGCGAGGCACCTTTGGGCCCTTGACAACCATAGAATTGGGTGTGTATTTGTTCTGTTGGGGGGTGGGACCGCTTTTTGGATGGCTTTGAAGGGAAACCAAAACGCAAACTTTGGGGGTTCCCCATAAATTGAGACAAACCCAATTACAGTTGGGCACCAAGCGTTTGAAACCAATTAGGACCTTTCTCCAAGCCCGGTCCCGTTTCCAAAGATGGGATTGACCCCGAACAGTTTTCCTATCGAGATCCGCAACGCGCCAATCATTTTTTAGAACATTTTCTTGGGAGTGTCATTCAGCGGGAAGCACAGCTCTTGCTTTTGAACTCCACTAGAGGAAGACATCCCTACAAACTACATATTTGGCAGATTGCTTCAAGGCTCCGCGCCAAAGAACCATTTGTAGTTTTCCGAGTGGTTTGAAGCTCTATTGAGTCACTATGGCACAGCCGGTCACTTCCTGCGTACCGGTGTGCTGTACAGCCAGACTTGTCAATGCCTGGCCTCGAAATGCGTGCCGCAGCGAACTTTATGTTAGGGCTTTCACACACTAATGATTCACGAATGGAGCTTTACATGCAAAATGGGCATGTGGGTTCCTTGGCGGTGAAAGTATTGTTTCCGGACTTGATACTTTTTGGGAGGATCGCTCTAGTGCACAACCAGCTCGGACTTCGGGGGCACTCCAAGCGAGAAGGTTTGGTCGAACACGAGTGTCCAACCTCTCAAAAGTGACACAGTCTTCTACTTTTGGGTGAATTCCAAAGCAATATTATTCCCATGGCGACAGGGCAGGACATTCTCTTCAAGGGCAACCACACTGCGATGTTTTATCGGCTCCGATTGCCCGTGACTCGATTGTATCATTTTGGGTTTGTGTGCGAACAGAGAGAGAGAGAGGGAGAGAGAGAGAGAGCGGGTTTTGTGCTGAGCTGTTTTAGCAAGGAGACCCTTCTTCTTCTCTCCCTGCTTCCTCCACCGCTTGTTCGATTGTGCAATGCGGGATTCGGCCCGCTCATCAGAGGCCCCTCGTCTGTGGTGATTCTGGAGCCTTCAAAATTCAAAAGCGAATATTGGTGACTCCTGTAAACCTCCCCAGTTTTGAATCAGCTTTGTCCCTTTTAGTGGCGCTTGCTTTTTCGAAGGGAACCCAAAAAGAAGAATGGGGATTCTGCAATGGTCTAAGTCCAGAGCTGATGACCTGCGATGCTGCTCGTTTCAGGTCTTGCACCGAGCTGGGTATGAAGCAAGGAATCGACAAGAGCCCCAAGGGGTGTTTTCATGTCATTTGCCGGTTTTGACACACACCCAATGGGCATGTCTTTAAGTTTGGCGGGAAAGAAATCAAGTGGCCCTGTTCTTTCGAGGGAATCGGCCCTTCAAGAAACAAGGAGAGCTGGGGAACCCGAAAGCCAAGTTTGGTTGCGGGATCTAGCGTGGCCAATCCTGCGCTTCAGCCCATAGTTCTTTGTCTCCCTCGGAAACATGCGCGATCGAGCCCCACACAACCAAACAAATAGAGCACGCTAGAACTGGTTGCTGGTTGCAAGTTGGTCCGCTTCGCTCCCCTGAGCCTCGGTCTCCCCGTGTTTCCCCCTTCCCCCCCCGCCTAGTTTGGAACAATCAGGTCTTTGCGCCGGTTGGGCTTGTCTTCATCAATGGGGGTTTGGCCCAACTCAGGGCTTAAACCAACTCATCAGGCCCTCGGGCCCCTCAGACTTGTTCAAGGGCGACGAGTCGCCAACTTCGCCGCACGTGTTGGATCTGCGTCAGGAGCGCTTTGACGAGGCGGAGTGGTCCTCGCCCGTGCAGGGCGCCTTGCAGACTGGGTGCTGTGCTCCAAAAGCGTTCGGTCGATGTGGTTGGTCCCTGGAGTCCCTCCCCCCACCACCTCAATGTCGCTTGTCCCATGCCAGCTTGGACCTTTGCCGTGCACTTGAACCCTGCAACTTGGCAAATGCCTGGTTGCCCACCAGGCAATGCTGGATCGCTTGTTGCGGGTTGGTCGACTCATTGAGCGCGATGGCTAGGTCGGACTCCCACGTGCCGGGTACCTGGTACCACGCCTGAAACCCCAGCGAGCGAGTGGATGTGGCGCCCGGTTTGGCTGGGTTCAAGGAGCCCCAATTTTGAGGCAAGGCCATGCTGTAGCTCAAAAGGCCGGTACCCAAAATGGGTTGCCCTGGTAAGTGGAAGCATGGACCAGAAGCTGCGGTTTGCCCTCCTGTTTGATTTTGAGGCAAAGCCATATCTTTTTCGTTGGCTCAAGATGTGTTTTCCCCAACTCGCAACCATCAAGTATTTGTGGTGAATGGACAATGTGACAATGTGTGACGAAGTGTCGAGATGTTCTGACAGATCGTTGACCATGGCACAGACGCTGCGCGTGAATTGTGGGTTGAACAAGGACAACAACTCAGCAACCAGGCAACTGATTGGGATACTCACGATACATGACGGAATTCAGACAAAAATCGTGTTATCGGAGCCAGAACAACATGGGCCGCATTTTGGGAGGACTCTGGGACTTTTAATCAGGGACCCTTGGTGGACATCAGAAAAAGGCACATGCGGAGTCACGTCCACCAACCATTTGGGCAGTTTTGACTCTGCCCCGCAGGTGAGTATGAATTCCAAGTAGTAGGAAGCCTTTGACATCAGAAACGATTGGGGGATTTATGGCCACCATACAAGGAGCTTCTAATACCCCAGATGTGGATTATTGCTTCATCCGGGGACCCTTTGCTTTTCCATAAGAATTTGCGGAGGGATGGGGGTAGAGAGGGTTTGAACTCCTCCGAAGGACCTTGCGGTGGACATCAGAAAGCAAGAAGCGGGATTTTGTCCACACGTGAAGCAATGCCAGATGGACCGACCTGTTACTTCAAGATGCTTCCCCCAAACTCGAGAGAGCGGGAGAGACGGCAGTATTCCTGGAGCGTGCGCCCATGAGTTGAGGTAAGCGGGTGTTCCCTGCAGCATGCACGCAAGCATTTTTAGCACATGAGTTTCACGTAAACATGTTGGCCTTTCAAGCAAGCGCGTGTTCCATGCAGCCTGCGCATAAAGAATTTGAGCCCTGTGTGTTTAGGTAAGCGTTTGTTTTCCGCAGCGTACACATAAATATTTTGGCCCATCAGTGCAACAACCAATGCAATATTCACTTTCCCCAAGAAAGACGCCAAACTCTACCATCCATGTAGCAGTTTCCTTTTCGATGGGTGTTCCAATCCGCGAATCTCAGAAACCAGGAAGTTCTGGACGCCCCAAAGGCAGTTTTGGCCGACGCTCAGCTGACTTTTCTTTGCCTTGGAGTTCCTCGATGATCCGCCGGCGTGTGGCTCCCCCCGCTTTTTGGTCTTTTGTCTCTCCGGGGCATCTCGCCGGCCCTGGTTTTGCTGGTCGTTCGGCGAACTGGTGGAGTTTCCCGGCGAGGAAAAAAACCCCCGCCGTTTGGCCATGGGTCAAAACCCAAATCGGTTAGCCCCCAGTGAACATCAACCAATCCAGCCACTAAGCCTAAAATGGGTGGTGAATTCACCTATCCCAAAATGGTTCCATTGGTTTCGAACCATGGCCATTTGGGACAAATCGGGAACCTATATTCATTCCATTGGAACCATGGAACCATTTGGGATAGGTGAATTCACCACCCATTTTAGAACCTATTTTAGTGGCTGGATTGGTTGATGTTCACTGGGGGCGAACCGATTTGGGTTTTGACCCATGGGACCACTTGGGTTTGAGGTCCTGAGCTACCCCCTCTTCGGAGACGTGACCAAAGCGCTGGTGCGCCCAGCTCGCTGGTGGGCCCGAAGCCCCAGCCTCGTTGCCTAAGAAGCAGCGCCATAGGTGTCCTTTTTGGTGGTTTTGGTAGAAAAATAGATGGCCCTGGTTTACCTGGTGGATCTATTTCCCCTAAAAGGACACCTATGAGCAGCGCCTTTTGGTGGCCGATTTTTTGCTTGGCCGGTGTGCGCCTTTTTTGTTGGGATGTTGAAGGAATGGGGATCCCTGTTAAAGGGGGGGAGAATTCGGAGTCCTGTTTTGCGTGTGTTGGTACCAGATGGAAAACCACAATTTTAATGTCGGGTCCTCCTATTTTGACGCACACCCGTACATTGGGTTTCAGGGCCACTTTCTGTGATAAAGTAATACCCTTCAAAGTGACATGTAGTCGTAGGGCCCTCGTTGGTATCACAGAAAGGACATTTTCCGACAATCGTGGGGGCTTGGCTTGGGGGGGGGGAGGAGGGGGGCAAACGTGGCTTTCCTTGTGTTTTCCTTGAAAAGGCTGAGGATTCTCATGTTTGTGGGGGGCGGTGGGAGGTGGGGGAGCTTCCTTTTGGGGTCGAAGCGAAACCACGATGGGTACTTCATCCCCATGGGTAGTGTTCTTGTCCCACGTCGAACAAGGGCCCCCTAAAAATACCACCCATATTTCCCCTTCTTGATTCATACGTCACTGGTTTCTTATTGTGTGAGTGGTGGAGTGGTGCGAACTCGGTATGGGTTCTCGAAGATTAAGTCTGAGCCTTGTGAACTCCGCATGCAACAAGTACCTGATTGAGGACACCTCTTCCACCCTTTGTGATGAATCTACAAACCTGCTAGTTGGCAAATGCTGGGCTTGTTTCTTTGGGGGGGGGAATTCACAGGGCTCCTTTCTTGAGAGCGTTCTGTAGTGCCAACCAGAAAAAATGGAATGCCGCCAACACGTTTTTAGCATGCGCACCACCCCCTCCCACAAACAAGGCCTTGTTCTTTTGTTGGTTTTCAAGCTTTCCCCGAAGCTTCGCTTGTTGATGATTCTATTGAAAGAGAGAGACCAAAATATTGCGCTTTGGAGTGCAGGGAACATCGTTTTGCTTCGAAATTATATGGTTCAAGATCCGCACTCACCAGGATTTTGCACATTTCTTCTGGGAGCTTTGCTCTTTAGCTGCACAGCCTGGAATTGAGGCCTCAAATGAGTCAAGCTGATGCACCAGGGGCTGAGGGAGAACAAACAGCACACCTTCCGCATTGTGGGTACTGGTCATGAAAGTCTGAAATGAGAGCCGTTACCCTACTTGCGACTTTTGAGAACTTTGTACTCACGGGACTCTTTTCCTGGGCCAATTCTGCCGTGTTGCTTTTTTTTTACCAGGACCCAAACCAGAACAACCGCTGGCAATGGAACTGAATTTTCTGCCTGGTGTTTTGTTTGTGGTTGAAATGGAGAGATGCTAAAATGCCTTTGCATGGCATCTGCACGAACAGACATATCCTATCTTTGGTGCATTTTGCCAAGGGATGTTAGGACTTTAACTTTTTGCCAACTCATGGGTTTTCCGTATTAAACCCACTAACAGTTAGTCACTTTTAGCAGGGGAGCAGAATGCAACCATAAGTGTGGCTCAAAATTAAACATGGAGGGTTACGCAGGTGTTGGTCCATGTTTCCACTTACCAGGGTTCCAGTTTGGTACCGGATTTTTGAGCCACATCCATATGTATATAGTATATACGCGTGGGTGCTCACACCATCGCCAGGGCCCAGACCAGCGGGAGGCAGCGGCGAAGTATTCCGAGAGGAGCGCTGCAAGTTTTTGTTTCGGGCGGGGGTCTTGATATGGTGATGAACACCCATGTACCACCTATTTTGATGTTCACCAGCGGTACAGGATTTGACCAGCCATATGTCATCCAAACAAACGGATACTGTGGATCGACAACATCCAGCAAACGCGCCAGTTATCTATGAACTCCGATTTGGAGACTGGGAAAACACGCGTCTGCCAACTGGCGCGAACTGGATTTTGTCCAAGTATGAGGACACTGAAAAATGAGGGAACGCTCCAGGAACCCTTAGCCTTAAGATGGCTCTCAATGGGTAGCTTCCATATATTCCATTTCGGGATCAAAGACGACTCCTGGCCAGCCTTCGGGGTTTCCTATGTTTGGATCAATTACCCTGGGAGGGTTGACTCAGTTCCTCAAATTCTGGACTTGGATAAGTGCGTTTGCCTGGATCTAGCAACGCCGGCAGTGCTGGATCCCTGGCTCCTTCCGCCGCCGGCTTGCTTCGCCTTCCTGTGCCAGCGAGAATCAGCTGGTGCCATGCCTTGGATCGTTCGATCAGTAGCACTTGTTGCAGTGCCTTGCTGTTTTTGTAGTTATTGTCAGCTACAGTGTTTGTTTTGTGAACGAAGCTACACGGTGCCCCTGACAACAGTTACTATGCCACGAGACGCGGCGGAATGGGCCACGTGTCTTGTATGGTGTTCAGACCTGGTATCGTGAAAATTCACAATCCGCGCGCGACGCATTTCTCAGGGACACGGAACCCGCGCCCAAGACCTTCTTTTGGGAGATTCCAAGTCTTGCCTAAATTGGTTGCACCCCAAGCGGTTGATTCCTCAACTTCGGTCGGTCCTTTCTGAGAGCCTTAGGATTGGGGAGACCTTGCTGTCGCAGATTGCCAAGACTGGCGGCTGGGGCCCCGAGAATGGAGATGCGAAGATCATCCGGCAGAGAACGCGGCGAAGATCGGTCTCTCGTTTTTTTTGGGAACTTCCTGTCAGCTATGTTAGTGAGAGGGAGGGTATGTCTCACTTTTGAGGGATCCCATTTTGAGGGTTTTAAGCGGAAACCCACATAGAAGCATCAATCACCAGTCAGGGCCACTCTGCTGATGTTCCTAGGGTCTATCAGAGTAACCCCGAAGGACTCCGAACCCCAACAGTCCATGAGGTGGTTACCGAGATTGGGTGCGCGCGCGCGCGAATTCGGGTTTGCCTTCGGCACGTTTGATCAGATCCATGTGCCATGGGATACTGTACGTTTTAGGGACAAGCCAGAGAAATGGCAATTTGCTCCATCTGAGCAACGACAGGCAACACGGGCTAGCACATGTCGGTCAAGTGTGAATCAGCATAGTGCTGGGAGGGTCAAATACAATGAAGAGAGCTGAAGACTGCACATCAACTTTAGAATGAACATGGGGCCCTGCCCGGGCCATTCGGCCCTTGGTGTTCGACATGTTGTGCCGTTGAAGTCACTTTGGGAGATCTTTACATGGGATGACGGGAGGACTCCAGATGCGGGACGTCGGCAAATTTCAACGCGTGGCATCGTTGGGCTTAGTATCCACTATCACGTTGCTGGGCGCGCGTATCACTCGCAACGCATGTCCCTTGCTTTGGTCTGAAAGCGCGATGATTGTTGCTTGGTGCGTTGTCGTCTCTGTGTGTTGAGTTTGTTGCCAGAATCATTGCTCGCTGTTGAACCTGATGAGGTTGCCAGGAGAAGCCGGTTCCTAGGCTGATTCTAGCGGTAGAGCGATGCGGCTGCGATCAGACTGGCATTATCTTAGCGCGATCCGGCGCGATCTGGGTCTGATCCAGCTGCTATCAAGAGTGCTGCAAGAATACCACGGTTTGGGTCCCTTGAGTGGACGCCCGTCTCCAGCTGCAAATTTTAGCACATGATTGGCCATGACCCCATGCAAGTGTCTGGGGTCGGGTATGAGAAAGAAAACAACAGCTGAGCCCGCTTCCAACAACGGCCACAATGGGCTCGAGTTTTTAAGCTCCCGGCCTGCAGGCCCCAAATTTCTTGAGCAAGACGCAGGCGAGTAGGAAAGCATGAGAAAGTGGCTGAATGAAGCCAAGGCCAAAGCCCAAGCCTACGTTCCAGCGTGCACATTGCCCTGGAGAGGGTTGGCTAAAACAAAGCCGTAGCGTACCAAACATCGCGTTCACGTCCACCGTCAACAGAAATAAGGTGGGAAACGAATGGAACTTAGTTGTCCAGCAACTGGCGTCTACTGCCAGGATTCTCCCCGCATTGTCCAATGTTGGGTCTTCGGCTGAGATAATTCTGGTGTTTGGAGGATCGTGAAGTTGGAATGTGGGCAACTCCAAAGCAGTTTTTGTTCTTTTTGAATTCTCCAACAGGGTAGCCTCAACAAACACATGAATCTTAGGGTATCAACCCATGAATCTTTCAATATACCATGTCTGTTTCTCTCCCCCCAGTTTTGGCTTGCAGGTGGCCAACATCCGCTGTCAGGTAGCCCGCAGCAACGCCGGGTAGCGTGGAGCCTCATGGAGGCTGGGATCGATCGAGCAACGCCGGGCTTGGCGCCCTGCCTTCTTTGGGCCTTTTTGTTATCATGGTTGACAAAACAGAATATGCGATGGTTGCTGTCGCTAATTTCAAAATAATGTTATTTAAATGAAACATAATATTATTTTAGATTTTCTTTTTCTTTATCCTTATCTTCATCACTGCTTTCAGCATCATTTTATGTCTAAATCAATGTTCATTTAGAAACTTACATTAATGCTCGGTATACCGATTGAATTGGTTTTATATCTTCCTTTTTGTGTTTGTTGTTTTTTCCATTTATCAAACATATCTTTGTATTTACTAAATCCATTTTTTGTTATTTCCCTTTGTTCAAATTCCAAAGGGGTTGGTTTGAACATGGCTGTTTGTTTGGTTCAGTTTTGAAGTCAACCCCTTGACGCAGCCGGCAAAAAGAGGCAAGCCGTGTTCTCATGGGGCAACAGGTTGCCGGGTTTTTGCTTTGGACCACTGGAGATTCATTCCTGGCTCAGCAGCCAAGCAGAGCAACGCGACACGTGAGGTGCATGGATCCTTCGGTTGAGAGGGTGCCCTGTTCGGGCTGGTTTTGGGAAACCAAAAGGGCCCCTTTTTTCCTTGGGTGGTTGAGGTTCCCCTATTTTGACACATTTCAATTTCATGTGGGAGTCTGGATCTAATGCATACTATTTGAGAGGTTTTACAGGACACAAAGAATCCCAGCTTGCCAACGGCTCATGTCCAAAGACGCCTTTCAGTTGGTGAAGCGCCCGAGCTTAGAGGGAGCTGGCCGTGGTGCCATCGACTTTGTGGGTGCAATTTGAGGCCGCTTGGCCCTGGTGCCACGCGCTGCGCCAGTTTTTTTGCATCATGTTCAGTTCTGACGCAAGGCCCGATGGGAAACACCCATGTTCTCAAGACGCACTTGCCAGGATTTCGAACATCAAGGAGCCTTGACAAGCAATCTACACTTGTTGGGGAAGGTCACAAACAAAACGCAAAAAAAGAGAGCTGAGAAGGCGAAGCCGCCTGTTTCATTGGCCCGGATCGTTGGCTCGGCCTCCTTCCGACCACAACTACCGGCGAATTCCGCACTATGGATGTTGTGTGGACTTTTTGTGGCTTGGTTTTTCAAGGAAGAGCATTTTGCGGCCTGGCATCAAAGGGAACAGGGAAAATCCCTTGCAATAGTGATTTGCTGTTCACTTATCTCCCCACCCAAGAAATCAAAGGAGATTGGATTGTGCCTCCAAGGACCTTGCTTCTTTTGTATGGATTTTAGGAAAAACGATCCAGCCCCCTGAACAACTGCTTTTTTGAAATGGCCCCAGATCCCAAGTTCTGTCCAAAAGGTGGTTGGGCCCCGGGAGGATGCAGCCACGTGTTTTCCAAAAATCTTAAGCAATCCTTGCAAGGTGCTTTTGCGGCACGGCCCGGCAGCCCGGGCGTGGGAGGTTTTGCACGTGAAGACATATTTTCCAATAGGATTTTTTTTCCGGTGACCGGCTTCCAACTAGGTCTGGTCGGGAGGGCCCCCCTGTTTTGGGGGTTTCAAAGGAAACCAAGAGGAACACCACCACATTTTTTTTTGCGGGGTCTCCTAAGAACAGGAACACCCACATACTCCCAGACAGGAAGGAACGCAACATGCCATCAATAGCTCAGAATCTTGGCATTTCCATGCTAATTAGCTGGGACCTTGATGTCAAATACATTGATGTTCCGAGATCGATTTTCCCGATTCCTGGATTGTCCAGTACCTTAAGTTTGCATTCTTGATACCCTTGGTTGTCCCAATACCTTGACTGCCCGACGCTCATGAAAAGCAGGGCCAGATCTCGCTTTCCTTTCTGGGATCACGCACATGCTTGCTTTTGGATGGTTTGGTGTCGCAAAGACAGCCACAGGTTCACGTCGGAGGGATTGGATGAGGCAGAATCTGAGCTGGCCTTACATCCGTGCTGTCTTGGCACGTGCTGCCTTTGATTGAAAGAACTGAGTAGACAAATGCATTGTGGTTTTCTTCCAGCCACACTATGAGAGCACATTGCCTTCTCCAAAGGTGAGCCCACTAATTTCAGCATGTTCCTCCCGTGTAAAATGAAACAAATGATATTTCAGACACGACTCAGTTGTTCATGTCCAATATTTGATCTTGACATGTTGTTTTGTTTGTTTGCAGCTTTTCTTTCTTTTTGTTTCGAACACAATTAAAAAAAACCCAGGAGTTCTGGGCACTCGGGAGGATTTTACGCCTCGGCCGAAGAAGGCGTGCCGTTGCCCGACCTGCTGCGGGAGTTCGAGAAGGTTTGCGGGCAGCAGGCGACTCTCCTAAGCCCCGGGAACCGTAATCACTTGGGCGCTGGACGGAAAGGGGGGCCTTTTTAGTCGACTTGGTGTGGCAAAGAGCCTTTTTTTGTGTTTTGTGTTTCGCCTCCGTTGGTTCCAAAGGACATTCTGTCACTGCAGGAAGTATGTGTGGTTTTTTTTCAGGGCGGACGCAAAAGGAAGCAGACTTTGTTATGGTGACTGACAAACGGACAGCACATGGCAAAGCGCCCTGAATTGTGGAAAATCCACACCCATTTCGCACCAACTCAACGCGAAGTGTACCTGGTTGGGTATGCGAACTGAAAGGTTTGTGGAAAATCCACACCCATTTCGCACCAAATCAACGCGAAGTGTACCTGGTTGGGTATGCGAACTGAAAGGTTTGGCTGCCCCCGAAAAGCCAAATCTTGTTTTCCTGCATCCAGTTCTCACGGGCAGTAGTGTTCGTTCGGGTGGTTCATTGGTGGTGAACCACGGATTTTTGGAAACGGGAACATGGATAGGCCGTCAAGACCCGAAAGGTAGGCCTTCTGGAGAAGCGTTCCGGAAGTGTCGAGGCATTTGACGGCAAGTGTCCGTTTCGCCATTCCGCCCGGACCTATTTGCCGTGTTATCCTAAGTTGCTGGCTTCAAGGAGACCGAGCCCTGCAACTGCCTACCTCAGAAGCCATTTGGAGCATCCTGTTCTGAAGTTGACGCAGATGAGAGACCATACCTTCTGTTGATCACATGCATTTGACTGGCGACCGCAGCACCGTGAGTACCTGGTAAACGCATTATTTGTTTCTGTGTTGCAAAATGCGACGACAAAGATAAAGCAACGACACAATACAGGTTAACTGTTTGTCTAGAAACAGTTGTTCAGCTGTAACTTCAATTTTCTGGTTGTTTGTCCGAGTCGGCAATCATTTCCCCATGTTTGCCCCATATTCTACAAGTGCTCAATGACTCAGCGATGCCGAGTGCTGCTGGGCAACTGTGTAGGGGATTCTACAAGCTGTTTGTCATACGGGTGAAGCTGGCAAAGATCTGTAGGTCATCTTCTTGGTTTTAGATTCGACAAGTTTGGAAGATCCTGGCGACCAATCTGCTAATCCCAGAAAATGCGAAAGAAACGCCTAAAAACCATGAGGGCACTTAACTGCAACCCCATGAAAAACCACTTCCCGTCCAAGCCATAGCCCTCTACCCGGCACCCCAGGGGGAACATGTGTACATGGCCTGAATGGTTGCGCGGGAGCTACGTACTTCACAGAATGGTTTGAGGGAGGAAATCCACTTGGGTATCTGAGGTCGTTTAATTTTCATCCTCGGATTGCGCCTTGAGAAAGGATCCCAACCTCACAAAACTTATTGTTTTGACTCCCTTTGCGTCAAGCTGTAATGCCAGAAAGTAAACCATATAGCCCAAAAGCAGTTTGATTCGTTCCAGACGGATTTCTGGGTGTCTTGGTCTTGCCGCTCCTATGTTGGTGGTATCACGCGCAGATGAGAGGAACAATGGGAGCTGCAGACTTCGTGTGTTGGATGTCCCTCAAATTGCCCAGCATCATGGGATTCACCCCTCAACCCCCCACCCCCCCCAACCCACTCCCCCTGGAATCGTCCAAGGGCTTCAATGGGGCCCTTGGCACACGCCGTGTGGGGCGGAGGGGGGGGTGGGCCGCGAGTTCTGAGGAGCCCTGCCGGCGGCAGTGGCGCAAGGACTGGCTGCAGATGCTTGGCCGGGGGCAGAGAGCGTCACCGATATCTAGCTACACTTGACGGATCTATTTGCATAATTTTTACGGCCCTTTACTTGGGGATTCCTTAATTCAGCTTTTGGAATTATTGTAAAGTTAGCACATCTATATGGCATCTGTTCTCTTTTCGGAGGGTGGTCGTTTGAGGTCTATGAATATGTCATCCCTTGATGGTGTTTGTGTTTGTGTCATGTTTAGCAGGAAAGCCACCCATGTGAGTGTGATGGCTTAGCAACATGTTGATCTTTTGGGGGGACTCCTTGTAAAGGCGACACAAACAGCGAAGAATCTCAAAAGGGCCTGCTTTGGGCAACCACCGTACTTCTGCTTAGTGAATACCATTCATACGGGAGATCCGTAGAACTATCCACTTCATCGGCATCTAGACTCTTCAAAGACTCTTTGGGAAAGTCACTTTGGTGAAAACAACCAGTTCGGAGGTTTTTTTGGACCCTCAAAGCTAGTACCCTAGGGCAACCTATGAGTGTGAGATTGATCTTCAGGAATCATTCATAAAGTTCAACGTCACCAATTCGTTTCCCAGTTACCTTTCCAATTTGTAGCAACTCCGATTTCCACTCGGGAAGGAGACACAGCTTGAGTATGGATGCACACCGCTTTGGACATACTGTGGACCAACTCCTGCACCAGTTGCTGCTTGGTTTCTCCCCCAGTTTCGGGTTTTGGGAAGCCATCCCGGCAATTCGAGGAAGCCGGGTACAAGGAGTCGAGGCCTATGAAAATCGATCGTTTCAGGGGACCGACTCCTATGGGAATTGCTCATATGGGTATCCCCTATTTAGGGAATTGTATTTAGGGAATTGCATCACTCCTATTTAGGGAATTGCATTTTAGTTGAAGACCCCAAGGCGGACATCATGTTGCTAGGCTTCGTGTCACATGTCCGCCAACCACTTTTGATGGGGTTCCCTATTGACATAGCCATATGAGCAGCAATCGTGGCCCTTTTCATTTGCCCGGGCTTCGTGGATTAAACCCCCTTTAGCACTGGACATTGCTTTCCCAAGGATGCGAGCCTGGATCTGCAGCTCCAGTGTGCATTTCTTTACAAAGCAACAACTGGCAAGTGTTCAGTCTCCAAAATGCAACGAATCAGGTCTGCTGAGGCGCGACGACGCGTCTTTACACATGGTTAGGCAAGGCGAGGGAGCAACTGGATGCACCTGCTCACGTTTTTGGATGCGGTTGGGTTGACGATTGTCCCATTTGTGCGTTATGCACCTATGAGATCCCGTGGTGTCGCTTCACTCGTATTGCAAGAAGCCCTCCCTCGTGTAAAGCAACAATCAAATCCAATCTGACCATCCAGCACATTGACGCACAGCTTGCTACTTTGCAAGCACAGATAAAGTTTTTTTTTAGAAAATCAGATCTGGGATTTCATGAAATAAACTGACTTTTGCTGCTTTACACTGAATCAATTCCCTGGATTGCTCCAATATGATGTCGTTCCTCAAAGCCAAACCGCTTTTTGAGCTTTTCACACATCAGACCAGGCTTCCGCTCTGGCCATTTCCGTAGATGGGTCTACTTGGCTTCATACAGGTGAGAGTAAGCTTATAGAAACCTGTATAACCATGACTCTCATGACGGTAGCCGCACCGTTCGACGGGTTTTGGGCGCTCCACGGTCTCCGCTCGGCACCCTTCCCACTGCAGGCCCGGCCGGCCCCGCGCCGCTCCTCGAGCTCGCGGCCGCGGATGCGGCGCGGCCCGAAGGGCGCCAAGAGGGAAATCGTCAGATCCCTTTGTCTAGGGGTTCTAAACCATAGACCTAAACCAACCCTAAACCAACCCTAAAATAGCCCTAAGCCAATCCTGAACTAACACCCCAAACCAATCCCTAAACATTCTAGGGGTCGATTCCTTCCAACCATTCTTTTCGGCCGTCGTTCTTTTCAAAAGCCGGATCCATTTTCCGTGGGGTTCCGGAGGTTTTCTAGAAAGAAGGATCCCTGGAAAGAATGGGGAAGGTACCCCGAGACTTTTGGCATAGTTCGTTTCTTGAGTGTACCTCTCTGTTTTTGTGTTCGGCAAGGGAAGGCCATCCACCAATTTTGTGGGCCCACTAGACAAAGACACTCTTTGAGATCCTGGCGATCTCTGACTTTAAGTCTCATTCTGGAGATTGTTTGACATAAGGTTCACCACCTCTGGCTGGTAGAGTCAAGCATGTCATTGTTGAGGGCAAAAGCTGAGGTCGCACGGGCTTACGTTCTGCTTGTTTGCCTTTTTTGGGGTCGTTTCCGGGAAGCCAACGAAAGACCATTGGAGCTCCCTAATTGAATTCAGTGTTCAAGAGGCGGTATGTCGCGAAAGGAATCCTCGCCGGAGGTTGGCTTCTCCAACTATTGGGTTCATTTTTTTGGCCGTTCGCAAAGGCAGGGATGGCTGGAGACAGATGATATTGCCTTGGGGGGATTTCCTGAAGGCAGCTTTCTGAAGCCATGCGGCGCTCAACAAGTCGCCATGTTGTGTTCCCTTTGGGGATATTTTAATGGGCACCCCGAATTAATAACCCCTCTGGTTGATGTTTGTTGGGGGGGGAGTTCCCTGTTCACGACTTTTGGAGGGGAACAACTGTTCGGAACAACCCCCAAAAATAGAACCGATTTATGATCTCCCCATCTAAGGATCACCTGGTTCCTAGCAGCGGTAAGCGCCACTAGGATTGATGAAGCTTGGGGCTGTGAGGCTGCTGGAATATTTTTTTGGCCCACCCCATCTCGAACTTCCGTTTTCGTTGAATCGGGGGAACTCCACCAGGTTTGGGACACCCAACAGCCTCCTTTTGGTCTCGTCCAGCAGACCGGCCGGTTTTTTTCACCTGAGCCGTGCAGAGTTGTCGGAAGAACTTTCGCCAGGAAGGGCCCAAGACGCTGGGCAAGTTGCAGGAGCCTCAGACGTTCTGGAAGGATCGGTCCCCAGGCAACATCCAAGGGAATCTGAGCGTGCCCTTGGGTTCAGCAAAAAATTGGGGCAACTGGGGCAAGGGATTGATGGGGAGCCTTCCCAGCCATGAGATCGTTCCCAAAAGGGCGGGTTTTCGTTGAGCCCTTTAAGTGCCTTTGGTTGCGGTATACTTGGTTGCACTGGATTTCAGCTGAGTGAACGATTGGCTGCATGAGGATTTGGGCGAGTGCGTGCCTTCTGCATTTTAATGGTGTAGATGCCTCCACGAGTTCATCTACTGGAATCGTGTAGGGCTCTTGAACCACTTTAAAAGCCAAAATCCATTTCCGAATTCAATGCATGAGAAGGCATGGAGGGCAGTGTCAGCTCTAAAGGAGCTACTGCTATCTATCTCCATGTTCAAACCTTAGTAGAGGGAGGTCATTTGTATCCAACTTTATGGCACACTCACTAAATCGAGCTACCTGTAGAATCTTTGCAGGTTTACAAATTCAGTGCGGGATGCTTCGGAAAGGTCCACCAATCCCAGATTGACATTCATATGAGCCATGGCCAAAAGAAATCCTTTACTTGGTGTTAACAAGGATGGTCATCCACCTGGAAGGATTCTTAATGACCGTTATAATGATTCTTGAGGGAACCCTGACCATTCCCCTCAGGATGAGCTAACACAGCTGGTTGACACTTGTTCTGTGGGAATGGTTGCCATGTTCACGTATTTCTATGTTTGTTGCTGGCTTGCTTGTGAACTTGCGGGTTTGCTTGCTTGCTTGCCTGCCTGTCTGGTCTGGTCTGGTCTGTCTGTCTCTTTGTCGGTTCCCCCCCCGCGCGAACGGCTCACAGCGACTGGCTAAGGCTGTCAGCTCTGGTCGAGGCGAGCCGACACGGCATGTCGTGAGGGGGCGCCCGTGGAATTGAACTCCAATGTACCTGGAAAGGTTGGCCTCTTTTCTTGAAAGGACACATGGGCATATGGGATCTATGGTTTAAGACCATCGAGGTACACCAGGGCTTGATAACGGCCCGGGTTTCTTGTGACACAAGGCCACGCAACTTTAAACAGGATACTGTCGCTTGTGTCTTCGGGGTCAGAAACAACGCCAGGTTCTACAGGGGGTTCCCAAGAACATGTGAAACAAGACACAGGTCGCTGACAAGAGTCACAGATCCTTTCCGGAATCCCGATTACTGCTTTCCACGGGGGAGGTCAAGGAAGCCTACTGTTCTTTTTTTCTTTTCTTGCGGGGACGGCAAAAACAAAACATTGCCTTGCCTTATCAATCCTCAGGTGGCTAGGCCACTTCAGAACTCCAGAAAACAAGCCAATCCCTACTCCGTGAACCGCTTCGAGCCAGACTACCTACTTCGAATGCGGAAGGGTTCGGTCAGTTGCCCAGGGGTGGCAAGAAACTCCGAGTTCAGAGTGCGGTGTCAATGTGGGTTGCTGTAGAATACTTACGTGTTTCAGTGGCTACACTTCGTTTTCTTTGCATGAGCTCTTCTCCCAGAAGCCGCTGGTTGCATGTCTGTCCATCAGGAGGGCCGGGCAGCTGCTCGATCATTTCCTTGCTGATAGGGTGGGGCTCGATTGTTTGAGGCTACCCCTTTTGGAGTGTTTTAAAGGGGACGCACAAGGAAAACCACCAGTTTTGGAGTCTCCTAAAAAGACACCCTTTTTGTTCAGAGCATCAATGTGGTTACGACTATTCGTAACCAGCTATCAAGTGAGCAGAACAAGTTGCTGCACTCGCTCGTGCTTTCAGCCAGCACCAGTTTCGTGCCAAGCCGATTGGCTTTTTTGAGCCAGGCGCACGGCGCACGCCTGGGCCCTGGAGAAACGTAGTGCAGGACTTGAGTCAGAATCGAATCTATCGGAGGTTTCAACGATACATATCTACCAACAAATTGCGTGCCTTGTTTTCCCATGGCCACTGTCTGGGAGAATTAGTGGCAGTAGCTGTGTACCTCTGTTTATAGGGGATGCCTTTTGGAGGGGCTCCAAGGGAAATCAGCGAAGCCTTTGCAAAGATCCACTGGAACGACCTTTC